ACCTAAGTATCCAAGAGCCATTTGTACTCTCTGCGCAGCCTGGCAGGATTTGGGTTACAAGCCTCAAAGACCTGCTGTTGAGTGTGCTGCTCCAGGGGATTACAGGCAGGAAAGCTGTCCCACAACCTCTGTCCTTCTTGAAAGGCTTTCTAAAGTGTCCGACCTGTGGCTAATATTAGACACTGCAACTTCAGCAAGCAATCCAGTGCCCTTTCTGTAGTGCTTGGCTCTGCCCATACCTGCTGTGATTTCATCCTGTAGCACCATTTTCAGAGTGAATGTCAGGACCTCAGGACTCACGTCACTGAACACTTAAGGGTTCCTTGCTGATATTTTTGTTGAAGAGGGTGAAGTGTCCCAGGCAAGCCTGCTGGAGTGTCAGAACATCCTCCCCTTCCCTTGCACAGCCAGCGCAGCAAAACTCAGGATGATATACTGAATAGCTGATTTTATTAGAAACAAAACTGACTTCATTTCCATTCATTTGCCTTTAAATTTCATTCACAGGTTCTCTGGCATTCATACAGAAGTACTGAGATGAATGTGTGCAAGTGGTGTTACTTGAGGTAACACCACGAACAGAACACTGGCTGCTGAGTCCTCATCACGTCTCTCAGCTCTTCATGAGTTGGTGGCCACGTGCTGCATATTGCATACACCTTTCATACCCACCCCAAGGCTCTTGCTCCAGAGAGTGCCAGGGCTTCACCAAGCCTTGCAATGGCACAGGTGGGACCCTGGAGCCCTGCAGCTAGCCCTAGGAACTGAACAGACTCAGATATTTCAGTTGGAGGATATAATGCAGCTCTGGGGTTTTCGGGGTCTCACCGACTCCGGCTGCCATGAGTGTCCCAGACAGGGAAGTCCAGTTAAGCACAACCTGTCCAGGCCTCTCAGGCAGGCTCAAAGCTGCTGGCAATCTTAGCAAGCTCAGCTCTTAAGTGAGATCAGCTCTTTGGTGATTTTCAGCTCTTTGGTGATTTTCAGCTCTTTAGTGATTTCAGCTCTTTGCTTGCAAAGTGCCTCAGCAGACCAGGGAGAGAGAGGAGAAGGCTGTGTGAGGTTCCACAGAGGTGTCTTCATTGGTATCTTCTCAAAGGGTCTCAGTGACAGTTCTTCTGCTGAACTGGGCAGTAATAGGGGTTTATATGGGTATAGGAGTTTTGGAAAACAGTCCAGTAGTAAGGGTTGAGGCAAAAGTGACCTATCATTTTACAGAGATAACAAGGGTCCGGGGGTGGAAGAGGGGTTTCTTAGGTCCAGTCATCATGACTAGGCATTTCTTATCTTAGGCTGCTGACCGCCAGAGAGACCTTGCAGGCCCTGTGCCTGCTACAGGAGACCTACAACAACCATCTCATCCACCTGCCTGAACCCTTCAGGGCTGACCAAAAACGAAAGCTTGCTCTTAAGGCCATTGTCCCAATGCCTCTTCAACACTGACAAGCCGGGGCCATTGACTGCCTCTCAGGGATGCCCATTCCAGGGTTTGAGCACCCTCTTCATAAGGAAATGCTCCCTCATATCCAGTCTGAACCTTCCCTGGAATGTCTTTGTACCATTTCCAGGAGTGCTGTCCCTGGACCCGAGGGCAAAGAGCTCAGCACTGCCCTCTCCATATCCCCTCCTCAGGAAGCTGCAGAGAGCAACAGTGTCATCCCTCAGCCTCCAAAGGAGACAAGGCCAGAGCCCTCAACTGCTCCTCAATGGCATGCCATCCACCCAGCTTGGTTCCACTCCTCTGGACTCATTCAAGGACCTTCACATTCCTTTTTAAATTGTGGGGCCCAATTTATGGGATTGCATTCCCATTCTAGGGGGGGACAGAACAGAAATGCAGCTATTATAGCTATAGTAAATTTTTTCAGGATTTGATATGCCAACATTCATTTGCAGTGCGTGACCCTTTGCAGAGGGGAGAGGATGGTCTTAAAATGTACTGGTTACCAACTTGTTTTCAAATGTAATTCAAAGCACAGGTTTCAGCTCATAAATCCTGTGTCATTTGCAATCCTTGCGGTTAAAGACTAGGGGCATTCAAGAAAAGGGAATTTATCTCTGTTGTGGTTTGACACTGGTCAAGATACCAGGCACCCATGAAAATCATAATGAAGGGCTCATGAGCTGAGATAAGGATTGGAAGAAAACACTCTAAGGGCAAAACAGGCTCAAAGTTAAAGGTATAAAGTACATTTAATATTAACAGGGTCAGAGGAGGATAATGAGGAGTAAAAGAAGCCTTTCAGTTCGTCACTTGAGATCTTTCTACAGTTTGCTTAGGAAGAGGAGTCTTTTTCTTCTGCTGTGCCATGGAGTCTTTCCCGTGGGAGACAGTTCTCAGTGACTGTGGTTCAGCACGGTTCTAATTTCACAAGTAGCAGTCCTGCCCAGCTTGCTGTAACATGAGTCCCTCCCACAGGCAAAAGACTCTTCTCAAAACTGCATGTCATGGGTCGCTAGTCCATGGGATGTAGTCTTTTAAGGCTAGGTGCTCTAGTTTGGAAGCATGGGCCCTCTCTCTTTGTTCAGGTCTCCCACTAGACCACAGCTTTTTTAGGATCCACCCGCTCCAGCATGAGCACCTTTTCGTATAGGTTGTGAGTAGATCTCTTCATCCCCCGTGGACTTCATGCATTACAAGTAGACAGTTTGTTTCACCACAGTCCTCACTACAGCTTGCAGAGGAATCTTGGCTCTGACACTTGGAGCACTTCTTCCCCCTCTTTCTTTACCACTGATCTTGGTGCCTCCATGTTGTTTTCCCTCATGAATCCTCACTTCCTCTCTTCTCTGACTAGAAGAGGAGCTACTGCTTGTAGGTACCACTGCCAACAAATCCCATGAATTCAAAGATTCCTGCAGGATCCTGCAGCGCTGAGAAGTTGATCTCGTCTAGGTTCCACGTTGGGAATCACTCGTCCTGCTTCTGCTGCCAGCCATGCGGCTCTGCTGCCATTGCACGGGCAGTGGCGGCTGCTGCGGCGCTGGCACCATTCAATGCCTCTCCTCCTGCAGGGCAATGGGAAGGGGAAGCTGCTGCCCCTGCCCTTCTGCCCATGGCACAGCTGGCTAGGAGTGGCCAGGGAGGCAAGGCTCACCACGGGCTGTGCCAAAATGCGGTGGCTGTGGTGGTTGTATGGCCACACCCAGCGCCAGGATCGCCCCTGGCTCACGCCTCGCCACCCCTCGGAAAAACCTTCCCATGTGCCATTTTGATTTCCTTCTCAAATATGTCACCACAGAGTGTTACCAACTTCTCTTATTGGGCCAGCAGAATGTTCATCTTCAGAGCCATCAGAGATTGGCTCTGTCAGACATGGTGAAGCTTCTAGCAGCTTCTCAGAGAAGCTACTGTTGTGGCCCTTCTTCGATACTAAGGACTAGGCTGTGCCAAATCAGCACAGTTTCTAGCCTCACTCTCACAGGCCTGTTGATGCCTGCTGATCTATCAGATCCATGTTTGGACATATGGAAGGATCTGTGTTGTGACATTGAGAGTGTGTCATGGCTAAATCCCAGCTGGCAACGAAATACCACACAGCTGCTCCTCGCGCACCTCCATCCTGCCCTTGGTGGGAAGAATCAGAAGGAAAAGTTAAAGCTCATGGGCTGAGAGAAGAACAGTTTAACAATAAAAAAAAAACAAACACAAAAGAACCCCACCAATAATAATAATAATCACAATACTAATAATTGTTGTGAAAAGGAGACAGATAAAATGCAAAAGGAAAAAGTGAAGCCCAATACAGTTGCTCACCAATGCCCAGCCCACTCTTGAGCAGCAAGAACTGCCCTCCTGGGCAGTTCCCCCCTGTTTACACACTGGGCAGGATGTTTTATGGTGTGGAATATCCCTCTGGCCAGTTTGGGTCAGCTTTCCCAGCCGTGTTCCCCCCAGCTTCTTGTACGGCTCCTCACTGGCAGAGCATGAGAGAATGAAAAGTCCTTGACTTGGGGTGAGCACAACTGAGAAACAATGAAATCAGTGTGTGATCAACATTGTTCTCTTCATGAATCAAAAAACCACAACGATGTACCAGCCCCTGGGAATAAAATTAACTCTGGGAGCCATTGAGCAGCTGGAAAACTGTAGCAGTGGGGAACAAAGTGATATGGACCCCCTTATGCATCCAAAGGAGATCGCTTTATTGTAGAATCAGCCCCTTTTTTCACTGTGAAAAATGCCCATCACTTGCTTTAAAATTTTAAAAGTTTAATAATAATAAAATGGTTATAAAAATAGTAATACAAATTAGAGCAATAAGAATTTAGACAATCAGAGTTAAGATAATAAAGGACAATAAAAAAGCAAAGAATTATGAATGTTTGGATGCTTTCCTCAAAAAAGCATTTCCACTAACAAAGGATTAACCCTTAAAAGCAATAGCCTGTTGCATATTCATATATCTCATACATGATGCAAACATTCCTTTCAAACTAGGGATTTTTCTGTTTATTGTTAACTTCTCCCTGTTCTTCTTGCAAATCATGGTTTGGGTCCATGGAGTTTGAAAGGAGGTAGAAGAAGCCTGATTCTTCCCAATAAGGAGGCAACAATTCTTCTCTTTGGGATTTTAGTGTCTTGTTGCTGTTATCTCTGTGCGAAAAATTTCTTGATTATCTTATCCATTCCTTGAGCTAGTTAGAAAAATATCTTACATCGCATAGTCTCTGTTTTAACATTATGTTGTAGCCTAAAACTATATTTAATACACTATTTAAAAGGATTAATACAGCATAACTTTGTAACATAACACATATAATATTCATTTTAATATTTGTAAAAAGCCAATCATATAATACACATTTTCCACATTTACCTTTAATTTTAACCTGACATAACTGAAACCAAACTGAGACTTAACAGAACTTAACAGAAAGAAGGCACCCATTGGCTGGCTCAGCTGCCACACTGCTGTCCATGCATCCTACCATCCAATCAGCTTCCCGCTCATACACAGTCCACGTGTTCCTTCAGCCAATCAGCTTCCCGCTCATACACTGTCCACGTGTTCCTCCAGCCAATCACAATCTCAGTTTCAGCTGACTGACTCCTCACTCCCAGCGGCCTCTCGCCCCTCAGCCGCCTCCCACCCATCCGGCCTGCGGCTGTGCCTTTCTGTGGGGCCTTTTGGTGAGTGTAAGCCATAACCACTCTGATAATTATTATCCCATATCCTACAGAAAACTACGACATCATTGCCACCACAGAGACATGGTGGGATAACTCACATGACTGGAGTGCTGCAGATTCTGAAGGGGCAGGCAAGGAAGTAACCAAGTTGGGGTAACCATATTGTGAGTGAGTGTTTTGACTGCTTTGAGCTTAATGATGCCAATGATAAGGTTAAATGCATAGGTTTATGGTTAAGGATTGGAGGAGGAACATTGACCATCATAGACTGATCAACCAGGAAGAAGAGGCAGACAAAACCTTCTATAAACAGCTGGAAAAATCCCCACAATCACTGGTCCTTGTTCTTGTGTGGGACTTCAGCTTAACCAGATATCTGCTGGAAATACGGATAGACTTTTCTCTCAACACAGTGGAGAGAAAAGAGTCTATGAGGTTCCTGGAGTGCATGGGAGAGAACTGCCTGACACAGCTGGAAAGTGAGACAACCAGGGAAGCTGCCCTGCTGGCCTTGCTGTTTGTGAGCAGAGATGGACTGGGGGGGACGTGACAGCTGAGGCCATCCGGACACAGCAATGATGAAGTGACAGAGGTTTTGATATTGGAGAAATAAGGAAGGAGGACAGCAGAACTGCCACCCTGGACTTCTGGAGAGCAGACTTGGGTCTGTTTAGGAGACTGATTGAGAGCCCCTTGGGAAGCAGCCCTGAGGGGCAGAGGGGTCCAGGAAGGCTGGACACTTTTCAAGAAGGAAATCTTCAAGGCACAAGAACAGGCTGTCCCCATGTGCTGAAAGACAAGCTGGTGAGGAAGAGACTGGCCTGGCTGAACAGAGAAATTTGGCTGGAACTCAGGGAGGAAAAGAGCATTTATCACCTGTGGAAAAAGGGGCAGGGAACTCAGGAGGACTTATGAGGATGTTGGGAGGTTAGGCAGGGAGAAAGTTAGAAGGGCCAAAGCCCAGCTAGAAATTAATCTGTCCCATGCTGTAGGTTATAAATTGATACTTTTCTGTGTTTCTATAGATACATCAGGTGGGCCAAGGAGACCCTCTGTCCTGTGACCGTGTTCACAGGGGTTCTTGGATGAGGGAAGAGACAAGAATGTTGACTCCATGATCAGAAGGCTTGATTTATTATTTTATGATATATATATATTACATTATAACTATACTAAAAAGAAAAAGAAAGGAAAAGGTTTCCTCAGATGCTAACTAGGCTAAGAATAGAAAAGAATGATAACAAAGGCAGCTCTCTCGGACTCTGTCCGAGATAGCTTGGTCCTTGATTGGCCATTAATTATAAACATCCAAGATGGGCCAGTCACAGGTGGACCTGTTGCATTCCACAGCAGCAGATAACCATTGTTTACATTCTGTCTCTGAGGCCTCTTAGCTTCTCAGAAGGAAAAATCCTAAAGAAAGGATTTTTAGTGCAAAGATGTCTGTGACACTCTGTCCCTTCCTGTGGTGAGAAAAAATTTCCACAAAGGATGAGAAGGAGGCTGAAGTACTTAATGCTTCCTCTGGACCTGACTGTGCTGGTCAAGAGCAACTGAACATCAACTGGTGTGTGCCCAGATGGCCAAGAAGGCCAATGGTACCTGGCCTGTATCAAAGATAGCACAGATGAAGTTATTTGCTACCCCCTTAATGGTATAGTTATGAGCTGAGTTTGCACAATTTTGTTGCAAATTTGATACTTTCATGCACTTGGGTCTGGTTTCTTCCAGCAGCAAACTCACTTGGACAGAAGAGGTCAATTGGTCGAGTTGTCTTGAGCATGTTTTGGAAGTAATCTGTCTTTGACACTATCTTATGTCAAATGGTGTACCCCTCTTTGATGTGCAGAGGGGCCACAACAAACCATCTAAGACCCTTCCATTATGAGCTAAATGCCAGGACATTCCATCTCAGGCCATACTATCTCACCCGTCCATTAAGAGCTCATGGCCAGAACATGCCTAGAAGGGCACATTCTCCCACCACAGCCCACAGTTCACACTGGGCAAGGGTGGCAGTGGCTGCAGCCGGGTCAGGGGTCTGCACCCCTCACAGAAACAGGGAGCACAATTGTTGGAGGCCCTGGCACCAGCTTGGTGGTTGACACCATGACATGGTGTATTGGGGGCTGGGGGCCTCATGCATGCAGTCACCCTTTGTCCTGCTGGGGTCTGGAGCAAGCCCTGGGCAGCCTTGGGCAGAAGGAGGTGAGGACGTGGGAGCTGGAAGCACCATGGGTTGAGTTGGAGCAGGAGTGGTCCTGGACCCAAGAGCAGCACTGCTGCTCCACTGCAACCCTGCAGCTGATTCAAGCCTGGCTGATTGAATTGAATGGTCAGTATGAGAAGCTAAATTAAAGCAGTCAGCAGCTGTTTCAGGAATTGGAATGGCCAGAAAGAGAAAGATCCAGCTCTGTCATTTCCAAGCTGCAGCAGGCTAACCTGGAAGCAGGCAAGGAATCTATCCTCCTGGAGGCTGTGAGAAAGCAACTGGCAGAGCTTTGAGCATTTGTAGCTTAATATAACTGTGATCCTCTTGATGGTCCCAATGAGTGGCCTGAACTAGATCTTCCTCTCATTTCTGGGCAGTATGTTTACATCTTTGGAGACAGGGATGAAGATGGTTGGTATGTGGGAGAACTGCATGATGGCACAAGAGGATTTTTCCCGTCCAGTCTTGTTGAAGAAGCTGGAGTGATGGACATCCTGATGGCACCACATCTGATGGAGACCAACTGATGGTGTCTCCAGGGGCTAATGCTTAGAGGATGTGGAGAATGTCCACTCTTCTTTTATCTTCCTGTTAAGTGTTTTCTTAATGATCTGTGTCATCTCCCTGTCCTGTGTATATGTGAATAGAAAGGACAAGATGCATTCTGGGCAGGGGTACCAGAGAGCAGATGGTGGCAGTATTCACAGAATCCATACACGTGTGTTCTTGGTGACTGTAGAGTGTCACATATGTACCTACACTAGTGACCTCCTCTCTGCCAGCCCAGGACAAGGCACCAGGCTGGCTTCCAGCATCTAGGCAGATCTGTACTGTACTGAGCTACAGCAGCACAGCAAGAGAGGTCTGTTCTGGAGTGGCTGGAAGTTGTGGCTAGTCTTGACATCCCTCTACACTCTGGGTCTCTGGGTTGCATGGGGGAAACTGAATCCTGCTCCATCCCCAGGGCTTCCAGCTGGGGATGAGATGACTGCACTGCTTCAGCTGAGCCCCTGCCCTGCACAGGATTCAACCAACACCTCCCTGTCACTGCCTGTGTGTCCTTGTTTTATTATGGGTCAAGGATACCAGAGACCAGAGGGAAATATTTACACCTTTTGCAGACATCCATCTCTGGTAGGACAAACCTGCTTTCAGAATCAGTCTCTCTCCTCTCTTTAGATGATTGGTGATTATTTTATTCAGCTAAAAGATGATTTATTGAGGGTGACTCTGCTGCCCTTTTTCCACAGGAGCTGTCAGACCTGGAGCCCCGGGACATCTCCAGGGAGGCTAAAAGGGGCAGAGAATGTGGCACATTGAGCTGGCAGGGTGTGAGTCTAGGTGTGTACCCAGAGGTACCCAGGGCTGTCCTTCTGAGTAGGGTCTGTGTGCCAGGGCAGGAACTGCCTGCCAGGGTCAGCGCTCAGCCAGCCCAGGGAGCTTCCCAGAGCACTCTGGGGAGAAGCTGGGGGTGGAAGGAACTGTGCTGGGAAGGGCAGAGTCCTGTTTCAGTTGAGAGGGTGCTTCATGGGCCAGGGCTGTTCACAGCTCCACATCATCCTCAGGACATTTCTGATGGCAGTTTTGAAGAAAAATATCAAAGCAGGGTGAATGAAAGGGAAGGAGTATGTGCATTGTGTTTTCTCCTCTTGGTTCCTGAGTCGGCAGACTGCATTTTGGAAAAGGCACCGAGACCTCAACTCTCATTAGGACTTGGCTGCCCTGCTCCTCAGGCCCTGCACATACCTCTGTCCCTGGGCAGTGTGCTGCTGCCAGGAGATCTTTGCAGGGCAGTGCTGAGGATGCAGCAGGTGGGAAGGGGTCTGTGAACACTGATAGGGAGGAGTGTAGGAATCAGAAACAGCTCCTGGCAGAGACATCTCCAGGCAGGGAGGGAGAGGAAAGTGCCCCCCAAAATGCCTTGAGAGAGGTGATTCAGGCTCCTCTCTGCCATCCCCTGCAGTGCAGATGCCTTAGCCAGAGCAAGGTTACCTGGCAGGAGAGACACCATGATCAGGAAGGGAGTATTCTCAGGGCAAGCCTCACCTCCTACACTAATTTTTCTTCACCTGAAGGATTGAAAGGCATTGAGTGCTGGTGCAGTGTAGCAGCGCAGGGTTTAGATGTAGCGGCCTTTTAACTGTTTCCTGTTTGTGACATAACAGATCATCAAACCCGTGCACACCTTATGAAGGTATTTACCTTTTCTCCAGGAGAAAGGTCTGGGCACTTGTTGCAACTCACCACCTGTACTGAAGTCTCCTTCCTTACCACTTGTATCTGGGTGAAGCCTTCCCTTGGGAAGGTCCATGCCTGCTGGACACCAGTTGATTGGAGTATCTGGTGTGAAATCATGTCTGAGAAAGAACACACTGCTCTCCTCCCTTTGCAGGGGGAGCTTCCTCTACAGCAAAATAATCTGGAGTAACCCATCTCACAGTTGTTGGAATGTTGGGGGACACAAGACAGATGATGGACTTTGGAGCTGGTTAACATAAGAGATTTGATACCAGGATGACTTGGCAAAAGCAAATGGAACTTTGAAAATTAGACCTAGATTGTAAGAAGATTCAATCAAGCAGGTTTACTGGAAAAAGAAAATCCCATTAAACTCTGCAAGCAAGAGATGTTGTTATATGCATGTTTGTGTATGTGATTTTAACCTAATCATTGTAGTACACATTACTAGTCTCTCTGAAATAGTATATAAGTGTTTGTATCCCACAATAAAATTGGATTATCATCATTGAGTCAGTCTCCCTGTCTCTCTCCATCGCCAACACACAGTATGGAATATCACCAGGTCACAGGTGAACTCATCCCCAGGGTTTGTGCTGCTGGCAGGTGTGGGGACAAGCACAGCCATGGGCCTGTGTGATGTATGATGGCAAGAGACACAAGCTAGGTGCAAGTGAATTTACTTCATTTGCAAAGCTCACCAGATTTATATCCTTAGCGCAAAAGCTATTTTTAACTGCAAGCTTAAAACTAATCACAGTTCCACAATAAATCTGTCCTCTTGACATCTATTATTCTTTCCAGAGTCACGAGTCAGTAGACCAGAAAAACTGTTTTGTTTCAGATTCTTCTTGTTCTGAAGTGGTTTCTTGTTCAGCTGGCGTAGTTTGTTCAAACACTGATATTGCTGCCACTGTTTTTTCTGTAACCCTTTCCTTACCCCAACAGACCTGCCCCACTGACCTGACTTTATTGGCTCCAGCAGGATGCAGTAAGCCATTTTCTCCTAAGTGCCTGCAAATCCCACAGGCTGAAAGGAGAGGAGACATTGCTCAGAGACAATGATGCTGACACACATACAGACAAATGACACCAAAGTAATTTCATTGTGTACATTTCAAAAAAATCCTTGTTCCTGGAACATCTTTTCAGTAGAAGTTGTGTTCAACAGAACAAGGAGAGTTGACAACACGAGTTGCAACTGGAGAAATTCTGACCAAAGAGAAAGGGTTGGTTCAGACCCTTGAGAGAGATGCAGCATTGGACAGAGGTCCAGAGATATAACAAGATCTCTGCCCTGGGAAACCTTACACAACTCAGCTAAACAAGGTCCAAAGACACCAAAGGCAGCCCTCAGGTTAGCCCAACCCTGAGCAGCTGGTTGCCACAGAAACTCCACAGGTTCCTTCTAACCTCAATCCCTCTGTGAGTATGAACTACCAAGTTCTCCTAGAAAAGCCTTATCTCATTCCTTCACATTCATCATAGTCATATTTTGAGAGGTCCCAGGACCCAGATAGAACCAAAAGAGGATTTTTTTTTTTTCTCTCAGGAAATACCAGTGGAAATGTGAAGATAGAAATACCCTCACCAACACTGAAAAATGCCACCCATCCCTCTTTATAATCCAGACAGATCCAGATCTGTTTGGGGGTACTGATTTCAGGAAGGAGAGTGTGATCAGGAGAGGTGAGAGCTAGGAGGTACCCTGCCAACAGCCCCCCTGCCCAGCTGCCTTTCTCTGGCTTAAATTCAAGCCAGAGAATATAATTCTTCTTTTTCACATATTCTATAGAGTCCCCCCATGGCCCATCCTCCTGCATCCATCACCTTCACCTCCCAATAGTGTCTCCCTGAAGGTGAAGCCATCACAGCCCAGCACACAGCGTAGGTTAAATCTCTCAGGGATGTCCTGTTGTGTGTCACCTCATTTCACACTTTTGCCATCATCAGACAGGACAAGGTGCCAGTGGGCTGTGTCTGGATCCAGAACCATGTTCACTGCAGGTGAGAGGGAACCAACACATCAGGGCAGAGCTCATCCCAGGGGAGCTCTTGGTGGGGGCTGCCTAAGGAAGAAGCAGAGTGGGAGAGGGAGATGGCACACTGTGGCAGGGGAATATGCATGTCCTGGGTAGCAAGATGTGGGTGGAGGTGTGTATTCTATTACCATCTGTTAGAGGTGGGCAATTATCTTCTGTTAATTGGGCAGTTTATCTCTTCCACAACCAATCCTCCCTCCAGGGAGATATCTGCTGTTAATGGGCCATTGAGTCTCACTGATAAAATTACATTATCTCATTGTGAGATGCTCCACCCGGGGGAGGAGCCAAGCATTCCTACCTGGATATAATCTGAGATTTGGAAGACCCTAGTCAGCCTTTTCCACTGGATTCCCAGAGGAAGACCAGGCCCATCTACACCCCCACTGGATCTTCAGAGGAAAACTCCAGCCTTCTACAGGATCACTGCTTCAACAGAGCCACACCTGTCACTGCAGGAGGACTGCAGCCACCACACTTTCTGTGGATCTGCAATGATTGTCCTTAAAATTACAAAATTGATTCATTTAAAGTAATTGCATTATATGTATCCAAACCATTTCCATCCCAAATATCCCCCAGAAATGCAACTGAATACTTCCATTTGAAGATTTCTCCAGTTTCTGGAAAATGGAAAGTAAAACTTACCTATTTTTTTCTGATGCTTTCCCATGAAGAAAACAAAGAAATGCAAATAATTTAAAAATCATCCCTTCCACCAAGCACTGATTAACCTCCAGCAGGTTACAGTCACCCACATGGCAGAAGGGCTGCAGGGACTGATGTGCCTCAAAGCATGTGCTGCTGCAGTGCATTTTGGTATATGCTTAGTCCAGTTCACCATTGCATCTCTGCTCTGCTCTATTTCCAGCCCCAAATCAATCATTGTTGTGTTGCATTAAGTAGTTTATTTATTATAAACTAGTTATTATTTTGCACTGGGTGATTGGAATTGTGCACTGAGTTGTTTTTATATTGCACTGAGTGGTTTGTTTGTATGACATGGCTTATCCTTTCTCCCCTCTCCTCCAAAGCCCTGTGGTGCTGGTCTTAGCCCAGGTTACTTCCTCCCCTCGCCCCCCCATCAGTTGTGTCCCATTGGCTGTAGCCCCTCTCCTCTGCCCCCCTTCCCCTGGGTTTAAAATCTCCCACCATGAGCCATTCCTGCTCTTTCTTCTCCTGGACAGCTCCATCCCAGGCTCTCTTTCTTTTCCTGGACGCCATTACCTCTCTCCCAGACTCTCTCTTTCCCTGGAGGTGTTCCAGAATAAAGCTGTGGGACGTTCGTCCTGAGAAGAAGAGCGTCTCGTGTCTTTTGCTTTTGTCCTTTTGTTGGTGAAGCTGGGGTCCAGATGTTATAGATGGATAATGAGATGATTGGCTCTCACAATTAAAAGATAACCATTGTGTGAATATTAAGAAAAGCTTTAGTAATGTACAGTTATGTTATTGTAGTTTAGATGTCCTCTGTTCTCCCCTGTATTGTGACCATCAGACAGGCTGGGTTGTCTAGGACAGGTACAGAGAAGGTGTGCACGTGTGTCCCTTGCATGGAACAGCTGGGAATGGAAAAGCTTGGTGCTTAGGGGGTGAGGCATGGCAACACCTGACCTTCAATCCAGTTACAAGAAAGCAGTTTCCAATGGTAAATGGCAAAGAAGAGCTGACTGACAGACTTTGGAGGGGCCAGGGCTGGCTGATGCAACCCCCAGGGGTATAAAAGTCTGAGCATCCATCTTGAAGATGAATTGGCCATGTGGTGTGCATGAGGGGCAGTTCCCAGTGCTGCAGTTTTTTCCTTATGTAGTCCTTTGCTGTATTTTTGTTAAGGTTTAATAAACCTTTTTAAATTTTCAAAGTGAGCAGTTGTGTCTCACACAGAACTTGCCAAACCAGACCCCCACGAGGCTCTTAATCCAACAAATCATCCAGTGAAAAAGGAGCTTTCCTGTGACACAAGGGAAAATAAAAAATGCATTCAATATCTTTAGGTGCTAAATTAAGACACAAGGATTTCTTTCTCATACTAAACCTGTAGGACAGGATTTTACAGAGGGGGAGACTAAGGGCATAGGTTAGTTTTCCCTTTTTCATTTAGTTCCAGTGTTTATTTCAGCCAGGGGTCTGTAGAAACTCTGCCACACTGAAGGCTATTCCTTTTCCCCCCGGCCTGTACTTCCCGATGGATTTAGGAGCACAGCTGCACAAACCCTATCAAAATCACAGCTGTTTGCACACAGAAATGGAAATGTAATGGAGATGGCCGTGTGCTGAAATGGAAATGGAATGGAGATGCCCGTGTGCTGAACACGCCCTGGGGGCCTCTGCTGAGCTCAGCTCCCTGGGCACAGTGGGGGCGATGCCCTGGGCTCGGCTCAGGGGGGGCGATGCCCTGGGCTTGGCTCAGCTGATACTGGTACTAAAGGGCTGAGAGGGATGGGCTGCAGCGACAGGAGAGTTCCTGGGTCACACCTCTGCTCAGGATGATGCTGCTCTCCCCTGCAGAGCCCACTGTCATCCAGGGTAGTGTCTTCCCAGTGGGATGGAAGCTGTCACCCACGGAATCTGGCTGTGGGTACCAGCTGGCTGAGCTGCAGGACACCTGCATCCCCCCAGCCTCGTGGTGCTCCAATGTGATGTACAGGGCAGATCCACTGGCTGAGGGAACAGAGAGACCCCAGGTGAGCCTGTGGGATGCTGGATATTGGGGTATGTGGTGATTTGGCTGTTTCACTTCCTGACAATGACAAACTTTGACCCAAGCAAATCAAAGAGTTTTTTCAGACAAATGTCACCTGGAGTCAGGACATTTCTTGCAATCTCATTTGCATAACATAGAGATCTGCTCTGGAGGCCAGTTCTGCACGAAAATAATCCACAGGCCTGGATATTAAAACAGAAATGCACAAACTACAACATTCTTTATTACCCAATGCCTAACTTTTTCTTACACCTTCTTATATGAAGAAAACAATAGCAAGAACACTTCTGAAGGAGGAAGCATATCTCCTTATAGCCACTTGGTGGGTAATTTCACCTCTCTGAGACAACCTTGGTATTTTCAAAAAGGGACTTAAGAAAACCCTATTTCCAAAGCAGCCACCTCAAACTGCTTCTGGGCAGGAGGATAGGGAAAAAGCACTGGCTGCAAGCAAGTACATTAGAGGTACCAAGGACACGAACTACAGACCTGTCACCTTGAGCTCTACCACAGCCTCGACATAATCTAAGCCATGTTAAACAAAACAGGTGTAATTCCCTCTGTCAGAGAGTTGGACATGGAAAATTTTCAAGTGTGTGCTGCCCTGGGCAGGGCCATCCTTCAGCAGCTCAGTGCACCCTCAGTATTGAAGCATCTGCTTCCCATTCTGGTCCTGTCCCCTGCTGTGGCGATGCACAGAGGGTGAGAGCTGCTCCCAAAACCAGGTCACCTCTGTGTGCTGTGCATGCTGCTCTGGGGAGAAGCTGCAGGGCAGCATGATGTTCCTGCCCTTGGCCAGGTGATGGGGTTGGGGTGCCCCCTCACCTTGAGCAGAGGTGGGAGAAGCACCCAGAGGAAGAAGAGAGAGCTGTGAGTTTGCTGTGGCACCTGAGCTCGGGCACAGCAGATGCTGCTCAGCACTGTTTGTGTGCTGCCAGGCCAGGTGTTGGGGTGGTTTACGATACTTTATTCCCTCATCATCTGCTTTATGCCCAGAAATGTCTGCAGGATCTTTAACATGAACCAGGGAGCAGGGCCAGAGCCTGGGAGCTCCGGCATGGGCTCTGCTCAATCTCTCTCTCTGGAATGGTCAGCAGCTACAGGGATTGTTACTTCATTGCTTTTGCTGGATTCATTTTTGCCAATTTAGGCAAGAAGCTTCTGGGTGTGTTTTACTGTTTTTGGTTTTGGGGTTTGTTTGTTTGTGTTTATTTTTGGTTTTTTTCTTCCCCTGGCCTGGAGGCTTTTCACCAGCAAATCCTTTTGGAGGCTTTTTGGTTTTTTTTTTTTTTCCTTGAACTGTTTTGGTTCGTTTTTTTCTTTGGCCCAAGGAGCCCGCAGTGGCAGCCCTGGCCAGACCAAACTCCAGAAAAACCAGCAAAAGAAGGGACGTTAAAGTCCACCAACTTCACCTGCCGTGAGGAGAAGTCCCACGCCAGAAATCCAACAGGTTCCCAGGCCACTTCACAAACTCTTTTCTCACCCCTTCCCAGAGACAAATAAGGGCAGCCAGCATCTTTACCTCTCAGTGAGGTGGGGATGGGGTGAAAGGTTCAATTTTTTTTTTCTTGTGCTTTGTGGGTATCTTGCTTTGTTAATAAATAGTTTTACATTTTTTTCATTTTCATCCCCTGATATCTATTTCTCTCATTGGCAGTAGAACAAGGAGTTATTGAAGCCCTTTCCCTCTAGAGGAAATGCTCATTCCAGGGTGTTTCCTCCTGAAATTTGTCTCCAAAACTGAGATACCAGGTCATCGTGCTGGCAGCATCCCCATGCCAGGCACAAGAGGTACTGAGGGGATCTGGGAGAGGGACTGTCCCGGATTGCAATGCAAGATGTATTCTATTTGCCATCTGTTAGAGCTGTGAAAGTTATTTTCTGTTCATTGGGCAGTTTATCTCTTCCACAACCAATCCTCCCTCCGGGGGGACATCTGCTGATAATGGGCCATTGAATGTCTCTGCATGGCTGATAAGAACTACAGCATCCCATTGGGAGATGTGAGCCCAGAGGGAGGAGCCGAGCATTCCTACCCGGATAGAATCTGGAGATTCTGGAACACCAGCACAGCTTCTGCACTGGATTCCCCAGAGGAGCAGCAGCTGCCTCTGCCACTGGATCTTCAGAGGAAGATTCCACCCTTCTCCAGGATCCCTGCTCCAGCAGAACCACCCCTGACACTGCAGGAGGGCTGAGCCACAATTCCAATGGGACTGCTGCCAACAGCCTGACCCACAGGGTGTCAGGCTGTGTTCTGACTCTGTCAGTGTTATTTTGTATTACTGCATTTTTTATTTTATACTTATATTTTCTTCCCTAATAATGAACAGTTATTCCTGCTCCCATATCTTTGCCTGAAAGCCCCTTAATTTCAAATTTATAACTATTCAGAGGGAGGGGGTTTACAGTTTCCATTTCAGGGGAGGCTCCTGCCTTTCTTAGCCGACACCTGTCTTTCCAAACTGAGACAGGGACCCTGCCCGTAGCATGGGCAGTGGGCTGGGGCCCGGCCACCACTCCTCCCTCTGCTTCCCTCTCCTGAACTGCTCAAGTGGTGCCCATGCAGCTCAGGGCAGGCAGAAAGCAGGACAAGGAATGATGGAAGTGGCTGGAAGGATTCTGGGAGGTTGACTGGAAGCAAGTGACAACTTGGTTACAAATAAAATTCAAATATCCTTATCTCTTCTCATCCTTTACAAACATCTATGAAAAAAAATAGAAATGTCTCAGGTACTCTTTGCATCTTTGAAAATATAAAAGAAAAAGGCTTATAATAAACTGGCCACTGAGCTTACTGAGAAAGTGGTTCTGGTTGAAGGGAAACAAAAGCAAATTAACATTTTTTACAAGATCACTTTTGAGTTAAGTGCTCTGCTGCATCCTTTGCCAGGGCTGCCTTGAAGAAGATGCTTCAGGTCAGCAACATAAAAGAGCCCAAGCTAAATTTGTTGTTGCTGGCTTTTTTCCTTTATTGATCTGGTTTTCCAAAGGGTCCAATACACTCTGGACACTGTGCAATAAACAGGAATGTGCAGGAAACAAGAAAACCAGGGAGAGAAGAGACATGGCAGCAAATTATAATCAATTCTTCAGCATCATCTAATCCTCACCCAGGTTCAGTGAGATTATTCCAATGCCTGTGCTGCCAGACACACCCTGCTGCAGGGACTCTCCAGGGCTGCATGTGGCAGCCTCCTCCCACAGTTCTGGCAGCAGTTTGCACATCCCTGGCAGGAGCACAGAGGCAGTGGCAAGGAGGGAGGTGATGGAGCCGGGATTCTCACCCAGAGGCAGTACCAGGGGGGGCAGCAAAGCCCAGCAGTAGCTTAAAAATTGCTTGAAAGCAATGCCCAGCTGAAAGGTGAGGACATCAAGGATGGGGAAATCTGCTGCCCTGAGAGAGGCAAAGGCAGTACCAGTGGAGCTCAGCCCAGCAAGGTGCAGCACCAGCCCATCCCAGCCAGGCATGGGGTACCGGTTGGGGCAAAGGGACCTGATCAGAGACCTGGCCAAAAGGGCTGACAAGGAAAGGAGGGAAGCAAAAAATAAAGGGTACAGAGACATAGACCTGGACAACTGTCCTGGTTTGAAAGGCACGTGCCTGCTAAGGAAGGTGGGAACCTCCCTTGGAATGGCCAAATTATTATAATTTGGATTATTATTCCAATATTATTATATTGGAATCAAGGGGCTTTCAGGCAAAGAAATGGGAAAAAGAATAACAGTTCTTTACCAGTATGTATGTGTATATATATATATGTGTATGTCTGTGTGTCTGTGTGTGTGTGTATAAAAAAGGCAAACAAACAACCACAGCAGCAGCAGCAACAACAGAACCACAAATCCAGTCCCAGCTCAAAGTAGACTCAGCCCCGGTCCCAAGCACAGACCCAGTCCCAGCCCCAGCCCCAAGCACAGCCCCAGCCCCGAGCACAGACCCAGCCCCAGCCCCAAGCACAGCCCTAGGCACAGACCCAGTCCCAGCCCCAAGCACAGCCCCAAGCACAGCCCCAGCCCCGGCCCCAGCCCCAAGCACAGTCCCAGCCCCAAGCACAGCCCCAGCCCCAAGCACAGCCCCAGGCACAGCCCCAGCCCCAGCCCCAGCCCCAAGCACAGCCCCAGCCCCAGCCCCAAGCACAGACCCAGCCCCAGCCCCAAGCACAGCCCCAGGCACAGCCCCAGCCCCAGCCCCAAGCACAGCCCCAGCCCCAAGCACAGCCCCAGCCCCAGCCCCAAGCACAGCCCCAGCCCCAGCCCCAGGCACAGCCCCAGCCCCAGCCCCAGCCCCAGCCCCAGGCACAGCCCCAGCCCCAGCCCCAGGCACAGCCCCAGCCCCAGCCCCAAGCACAGATCCAGCCCCAGCCCCAGGCACAGCCCCAGCCCCAGCCCCAAGCACAGATCCAGCCCCAGCCCCAAGCACAGCCCCAGCCCCAGCCCCAGTCCCGGCCTCTCTCGGCGCTTTCCCCTTTGGTGCAGTTCCGGGCACAGCCGGCAGGGGCGCCGGCGGCTCCCGGCCGGGCGGGGCAGGTGCGATGATTCCCCCGCGGCTGCAGGGGGCGCTGTGGCCCAGCCCGGCCGCCTCTCCACACGGCAGTGGCGGGCGGGCTGGATGGCGGAAAGGGGCTGCGGCAGGAGCCTCGGAGCGGTGGCTGGAACCGCAGGGACGAGCAGACTCCGGAGTAGCAAACGAAATGTAACAGAAACTCCGCAGCTGTAGCAGGGGCCGAGGGGTATCCCGGCAGGCAGGGCTGCTGAGTTACAGGGCAGTGAAAAACCCGGAGCAGTGGCAGAGAAGCGGCGGGGCTGGGCAGGGGCCGCTCGGCTCCCGAGCACCGCCGGGAGAGGCTCCCTCGGAGCGGGAGGGGACTCGGGGATCCCGGGGTTTCCCCTGAGGCACCCGAGTAGATGGGGAGGGTCCTTTCGAGTGAGGTAGGGGTTAATAAGGTCCCAGTGACACGGCCACTCTCATGAGCAGAGTTTGGCACTCGGTAGGAGAAGGCAGGAGGAGACTCATCCCGCAGAGGTGCTGAATTATCCTCGCAGTGAGCGCAGCCTCTGAGTCTCCCCTCTGATGTCCAGAGCGACAGAGAGCTCAGCCCCTCCTGCCAGCCCACATCTCCCGGCATCTCTGCCCTTCCCAGGAGAATGCCCCTTAGCTGCCATAGTGCAGCCAGCTCCACTCCTCCCCCTTCTCCTTGGCCATATCTTGTCTCTTCAGTATCGGTTGCTATTGGCTCTTAGCAACAAATGGGAGAAAATTGCCTGAGAGAAAGAAACAAAAGGAAAAGTCCTAACCCCCAACAACAACAAATGATAGCAAAGAAAGTGCAATAATCGAACCTCGTAATTTAACGATGGGATCACAATTCCAGGGAAACCCATGAGAGGAATAGCGGATTTGTCTTTACAAACAAGCTGTGGGTCTGCTGGTAGATAAAACTAGCACTGAGAGATAAAAGAAACAATGGGAAGGATTCCACTGATTGATGAATAGAAAAAGATATTTGCTTATACAAATAAACTTTAGGTTTGCTGATAAACGAAATTAGACACTGAAAGATGAAAGAAACAATGGGGAAGAAAAACCCCTGAATTCTGTAAGAATTAAAAATTAAAAGGGAGGGTTATACATTAGAGGGAAATCTTTGGGAAATCTTTGGTATCAGGTGTATTGGGGAGTCTGTACCTCTCAAGTACCTCAACCAATGAGGAAAGAGAGAAGGGAAATGTGGCTGGGAAATTAGGATAAAAAGGAGGCTGCATCCTCTTCTACATCTCCTTTTAAAAATTCAAGAGATCCTAGGGGAATGGCCCATGGCCTCTCCCTTTATTCTAATAAAGCCAGAAAGGACTCCTCTGTCTCCTTTTTGGACATAAACCTCTGGTGTTTGTGAATTAGTTTTCCTATCAGCCAGCCTGCATAGGTGTGCAAAGCTGGGGATCAAAGCTGCGTGTCCCAGACAACTCCACGTGCCAAGGGAAGGATGTGAGGACTAAAGCCATGTGGAGTGAAAGGATTTGGGGAGGACAAGGTGTCAGACATGCCAAAAGAGTGCAAGAGGAACTGGTCATGGGTAAAGTGGAACCAGTCAGTGAGCTTGGCTGCCTGCCAGGCCAGGGTTCAGGCAGGCAGAGGGTTCAGGTGGTGTCTGCAAAGCCACCTGGCAGCAGCTGCCCTTGCATCCTGCTTTATTTGTGCTCAGCTGGTGCCTTCCAGAGTGATGTGACACAGCAGGGTTGTGCCTTGTGTTCCCTGTGCCTGGGAATAACGCCATCCCCCCTCAACACAGGAAGAGCTGCCTGGAGAACAGACAGGTGGGAGCAAAGCCCAGCACACGCTGTTCCCCATTTACCAGTTGGGCAATTGAGGTGGCGCATGCCCTGCACACATCTCCACCATGAACCCATGCAGCAGGACAGAACTGGGCAAACAGCCAGGGCAGGAGCCAGACCTCCCCTTCCTTTTCCCAGAATGAGCCTGGACACCCAGAGCAGGGCCACGGCTCTGCGGGTGGTGTCCCCAGGTGCCATCCCCAGGGGCTGGAGGTGCCTGTGGGGCCATGGCCCAAGAGGGCTCTGAGCATCCTGCACAGGGAGATACAGACTCCTCCAGCACTCAGGGGCTCTTATCAGCCACCTGCAGCTGGGCTCAGGGAGGGGAGATGCAGCAGACCCTGTCATGTAAACAGGACTGGGCACTGCAGGAGCAGGAGGAATTGTCAAATCAAGTGTTGGATGAGGTCCCACATGGGCTGGCAGCTTCAGGGCATGGGAGGTCATTGCCGAGAGGATGGGAGGGGGAAGCTTGGTGGGGTGGTACCCAGACAGACTCCCAGGTCTGCTCTCCAGGCCATCCAGCTCCTCTGGACTGTGCCCTGCTCACTCAAACAGGCTGGAAGTGCTGGGCAAGCTCAGTGCAGCCATGAGCAGATGAGAGGATCAGAGGAGTGGGAAGCAGACTGAAGACCTTTCAACCCATCTCAAAGCTGCTTTCCTGGAGTCAGCCTGCAGGCTCAGCAGGTAAGTACTGGCTGTGTAAAAATGCTGAATGCTGTGACCTTTCCATTACTCCTTCTCTGCTTTATCATCTTCAGGCAGTCCTCGAGTCTTGTAATTCCCACTTTCAGCAGTGAATCCTGTCTCCCTCCCTGTTGATTGACTGTGGATATGCTGGCATCCAAGATGGAGACAGTAGAAAGTGAGACCCTGATTGTTGAGGTGGAGGAGATGAATGGAAGAGGTGAGTTTTCAGAAGGGAACAGGAGGGGGAACTGTCCTCTATTGAGGACAAATGCATCCTGCTTCTGCTGTGGGACAACTATTGAAGGTCAAATCCCTGGGGTTTGTCCCCAGACTAGGCTTTTCATGGGTTGGGGACTTGGTGGCTGCAACACTCCCAGCTGAACTCTTGGTGCTCACCTGTAGACCCAGCTACAGCACCAAAGGCTCCTGAGCTGACATCCTTGGCCCCCTCCACTGTTCAGAGAAAGAGATGTGAATCTGGGGCCATGGGTTATGGGTCTTGGGGTAATCTCTACTGTGGTCGGCACTGGTTTGTGCCCTGACCTGCCTGTTCTCCTCTCACAGCACCAGAGACACCCAGACTCAGGTCCAGGTGGCTGCACTGCAGGTGTGCACCCACCCACTCAGGTGCTGCCTCCTCCTCCAGGAAACTGAGGTCCCCTTGTCCAGGATGTGTGCAGGCCCCTGGGGTAGGGACAGGGATGGGGCAGCAGGGAGCCAGGACAGTCCAGCTAGGGCTGGTTTTCCCACTGCAGGGAAAAGGAACTCACCCTGTCCCTTCTCTTGCTGGGGTGGATGCAGCCCCAGGGCTGCCTGTTCTGAGCAGCTTCTCCTCCTCTGTCCCCAGCTGACGTGACTCTGGATCCAGACACCGCCAATCCCTTCCTCATTCTGGCCAGTGACCAGCGAGGGGTGGGACGGGGGCACGAGTGGACCTTGCTGCCCAACAACCCCGAGCGGTTTGACACGGAGCCGTGCGTGCTGGGCAGCCAGGCCTTTGCTGCGGGGAGACACTGCTGGGAGGTGGAGGTGGCCGAGGCAGGGGACTGGTGGGCAGTGGGAGTGGCCCAGGAGTCTGTCAGGAGGAAGGGGGTCCTCAATTTTATGCCCCAGGAGGGGATCTGGGCCGTGGGCCAGTGGTTTGGACAGTACCATGCTTTCAGTGAGCCTGACTGGACCCCGCTGCACCTTACCTGCCTCCCCAGGGCCATCCAGGTCTGCCTGGACTTCACAGACAAGCAGGTGACTTTTGCTGATGCTGAGAGTGAAGCCCCAATCTTTGCTTTCTGCCTGGCCTCGTGTGCTGGGGAGAGGCTGCGCCCGTGGCTCTGGGTGGGGATGGACTCGTGGCTCAAGCTGTGCCCCTGACAGGGAGGGAACATGAGGGGCAGGGGAGAGGCTGGAAAGGCAAACTCCATCACCTTGGGTCTTGGTGCTGGGAACTGGGAGGGTCCTGCATCCTGCTGGCTCCTCCTCATGTGGATCCTCTGGCCCCCAAGGAGAGGACTGGCAGGTCATGGAGGTGGATGCCACAACAGAGCCTCCTTTATCCCCCCACCCCTCAGCTGGGACTGCAGGGACAACAGGGAGCACAGAGACAGGGTGCAGGGAGGAGCTTGGTGCCCAGTGGTCCCATGGCAGAGACCTTCACTGAGTGCCAGGGCACTGCAGAGCTGCTCTGCTCTGTACGAGGCCATGGAAAATACAGCAGGGTCCAGCTCCTCCAAGGGTGCTGGTGTAGTGCCTCTGGCTTTTTTCAATTAAGTTAAAAAACCCCAAACATAGCTGGATACTTATGATAACACTTATCTTCCCCACACATCCAGAGCCTGTCCTTGCCTGATGTGCACCAAACACATTTTGTGCAGCAGAGCACTGGTAGCAGCGCAGGGGCAGCAGCAGGGGCAGCCCAGGAAGGAAAGCACAATGCTGAGCTGTGTCTGAAACCCACAGGAGAGGCAGGAATCCACAAGAATGGCCACAGATCTGCCATTCTCTAGGTCCCACCTCACAGGATCCTGCTAAATCCTGTCCTTAGGAGAGGAGAAGGTGGATGTAGGTGAAGAGGGACATTGCCTGGGTCCAGCCTAGATTTCATCTCTGAACACTTTTCTGGTTGGACCTTCTTTACTGCCATTTCAGTTGTCATTGTTGTGGTGGCATCTGGGCACAGACAACAATATTGGTCTCCCTGCTCTACTCCAGGGGCTGCAGAGTTGCAGCACTGGGTCAAGCCCAGGTATCTGCCCCCAGAGCTCTGCCCTAAGCCTCTTCCACTGTGGTAGCATCAAGACTGGGGAAACCCAGGGTTCTCTGCTCCCAGTGAGGCACTTCCTACTCTCCATGGGCAGGAGCCTCTGAGACTGTCCTAGTTTTGCTTGGGATAGAGTTAATTTTCCTCTCAGTGGCCAGCACAGTGCTGGGTTTGGGATTTAGGATGAGAATAATATTGGGAGCAACAATCCAACCATCAGTCATGTGGTGTTTACACGGCCTTCTCTGTGTCTCATGCTCTGCCAGCGAGGAGTTGCACAAGAAGCTGGGGCAGGGCAGAACACAGCCAGGACAGCTGACCCGAACTGGCCAGGGAGATATTCCACACCATAAAACATCCTCCCAGTGTGTAAACTGGAGGAGCTGCTGGTGAGGGGCTGATGGCTGCTGGGAGACAAGCTGGGCACAGATCAGCAGGTGCTGAGCACCTACCCCAGGCATCACTTGTTCTACTTGGGGTTTATATTTTTTTCATTACAATTATAATTATCATTAGTATTATTATATATTACTTTTATCTCAATTATTAAACTGTTTTTACCTCAAATCAAAAGTTTTTTCCCCCCATCCCCCTTGGAGGGTGCTGTGTGACTGAGTGGCTGTGTGGTGTTTAGTTGTCAGCTGGGGTTACACTGTGACAGAGGTCCACAGCAGAAGGTTGGTTATGGAGATGGCAGATTGTTAGTTCTGTATTTTTGTCCTTTGTCATGCAAAACATCCCAAAAGAGCTGTGCTGTGCATTTAGGGGCACCTGACTCAATCAAGAAGAAGAAATTCCTTTCTGAAAGCCAGCGAAGTCCCTCAGACTGGAGAAAAGTTGGGTTTTTAAACAGATTGGTGTCTGGGAACTTCTTCACTGGAATTTTGTGGTCTGGAGGGAGTAAATATTTTGCTCTGGTTTCCTTTTTGATGTGTCTCCCAAAAATTAAATTTAAAAAAAATCATCTCTCTGGGAGCTGAGTTACGTAATTGCAGCATTTGTGTGAGAAATACACAATTTCATGTAGAATTGCACCACAAAGACTCAGGGGAGCTTAAATTCAGCTCTCATGTGTTGGAGATGTTGGAGCCACAATGGGTAGGAAGGGTAAGGAACACTGGGGTCCTTGAGCAAGGCTGGACCCACGTGGGCTCTGAGTGGTTCTGGGGAGACAATTGGGGCTGGGAGGTTTGTGCCACAGCCAGCGTGGGCACAGCAGCACATGGCAGCAGTGACTGCTGCCTCCTCAACCCTGCCTGGACACAGAGGCCACAGGGCACTCCTGAAGCCCTTGGTCCACAGCCGGGTGGGATCAGACCCCTGGGACCCTCCTGCTGCCAGGGAAAAAGGCTGCAGCAGTGGAGAGTGGAAGCACCTCAACAAACATGCTCTTCTCAGCATTGGTCTGTCAGACATGCTCCAAACAAAGCCTGCCTGGATTTGGCACGTCAGCCAAGCAACTGTGACTGAACGCCCTTCCCATGAAACTTTCCTTTTTCCCGGTGAGCCCTTTCTCTGGCACTTCTGCTCCTTTTACACTGTTCTTGTTGTTGCAGATGCCACTTTGTCTTCTCCCCACCCTGCCAGATTGCTGTGTGGCATCAGAGTTTTATTTTAAAGGTCTGGCTGAGCCAACCACGGCACTCTCTTTTTTTAAACCTTTTTTTTCTTTTAATATAAACAAACCCAGAAAACCCTTGAGAGCTTGGCCAAGCAATTCATCCAAGGTCTTGCCCAAGGCTCAAGCCTTGTCCAGGACCTCAGAAATGCATCCAACATTGGTGTTGCAGTGCTTTGAGTGGCACTTTAAATGGGCAGCTTCACAATTTCCAACCCCCTGCGGCAAGTGTGGCGTGACCAAATTTGCAGCACAGGTCCAGGGCCAGGGGCCAAGGCTGCAGGGGATGTTGGGTCTCCTCATTGCTTCACAGAACAGGGAACAATGGCTGCCCAAGTCTCTGCCCTGAGGTTCCATGCCCTGCAGCCCCTGCCACAGTGCTGGCCCTGGATGGCTCTCAGAGCCAGCTGGTAGCAAGCACAGAGAGCAAGGCTCCTGCCCTGCAGCTCTTGCACACTTGGGCACAGCTCAGACACAGCTCAGACACAGCTCAGACACAGTCGGGCACAGCTGGGCACTGCCCACCATGACCTCACCAGGGCTCACAGCTGTGTCCAGTGTCTCCCACAGCCCTGGAGTGAGAGGCTGGGCTCAGGACCATGGGCAGGCCTGGGTCAGGCAGCTCACAGGAAGCCTCTGTGGGGTAGCATCATGCAGCATCAGGGTCGCTCCATGCAGCCCCATACACACCCCTGGCCCAACCAGGGGCCAAAGGACTCTTGACTTGGCCCACGCCAGGCAGGCTTCTCTACACTGACAGAGAAACTACCCAGAAATTAAAAAAGCCCTGGGTTTTGTCCAACTTGGAAACCTTCTGCTGGGGCCCTGGGGGCTGGCCAGGGCAGCTGCTGCAGGCAGGAGGTAGCAGGGTGCTCTCAGGGAGGCAGCCAGGGCTCTGCAGCCCTGGCCCCCTCCAATAACAACACAACAGCCCAAAGTTTGTCTCACTTTTATTTACATCATTGCACAGCCCATTTCCCTAGAATGCACTGGAACGTGGTGGGTCAGACACCGATTGCCCACATCCACGAGCTGAACATCTCTGGGAAGGAGGACAAGACTCAAAGAGTCACTACTGGGTCTTGTGGGGGCACATGCAACAACTCCAATTATTGGCAATGGCAACAAAGCCAAGGATGCTGAGTGCAGCCACGGCCACACACGGGACCGGGCCCCCACTGCCCCAGCCAAGGGCTTCTGGCTTCCACAGCTGCGTATTTGGATTGATGGTGGGTTTCTTAACTGGAACACTGGCTCCATGAAGTCCTTTCCCTGGGGACATGCTATGGGAGAGAGCATCCCTCATCATCTGCCAGAACTCAGTGCCTTGTGGGGCCAAGCTCCTGGGAGGCAGCCAGGGCTTGGAAGGTTAAAACCCCCCCTCCATTTTTCTTCACTGGTGATGTCCTGGTGACAAGGGGGTTGTTGGGAAGGGGCTGAAGGAAGGGGCACCCAGGACAAGGCACAGAGCAGTGGTACAGAGCCTGCTGCCATGGAAGGGGTGTGCAGGGCGGGAGCGCCTGCGTGGGAATGGGATGGGACTGGAGAAAGGACTGTGACTGGAGAGGGCTGCAGCAGCCTCTCCACCATGAGTACCAGAAGCAGAGTAATCCCTGCATGAGTGCATGACTGGGAAAAGGGCAGACACCCCAGGTATGTGGAAGAAGGGAGGGGACAGTCGGGGGGTGGCCGAGAGAGGGGAGCAGAGATGTGCAGCCTGGCTGTAGCAGAGGACATTCACCCACAGTCACACCAGCCCCTGATGCTTGGAAGAGAGACCAGTTCAGAGCAGCCCTCAGGGCACAAAGAGGCTGCTGCAAGATGTGTCAGGGTATCCCCAAGCTGTACCTGGGAGAGGGGACAGAGGAGAGCAGGCAGACACCAGGGCCAAGGGCTGGAGCAATCCTGTAGGGCAAGATGGCACACTGGTCCCTGCTGCTCAGGCCACCAGAAACTTCCAGATCAGGCTGAGGGAACACACAAGGAAACACATCCTGCTTTGCAGCTAGAGAAGAGGAGGAGGAGGAGGAGGAGGAGGAGGAGGAGGAGGAGGAGGAGGAGGAGGAGGAGGAAGTGCACATGGTGCTTTGAATTCAGGAAATTACAGATGTCCATCTCACAGGGCATTGCACTGACCCACTTGCTTTCAGCAAAGGGGCAGAGGGACATAGTGCATGACCACCACCACCCACTGCAAGGACGCAGGCCCCTCAGAGCCTGCCTCTTGCCTGCTCTCTACCCTCACCACCACGGAGCCAGAGCTCAGGCTCCAGCAAAGCAGCTGCACACACCTCTGGAGCACCTGCCAGGGCAGCAGAGCTCAGCACCAGGCACTGTCTGGCAGGGTGAGGTGGCAGAGACAAGGACCAAAGCCAAACCAGGGGGACTCTTGGCAAAGGAGGCATTCTGAGACAGAGGGCTTTGAGAACTGCATGTGCTGGAAACACAGGTAAAAGGAGGAGGAGAAGGAGGAACACTGGCCCCACTGGACAAGGGACCCAGAGCCTCTTCTCTGGGACCAGCAAACTGGGAGGTTTCACTAGAGGACACAACAGGCAGGCAGCGCTACCAGGGATGAACCCAATGCCAGCAGCTCCTCTGGAATGTGCAAATAAAGCGCAGAGACAGCCAAGAGCACCCGCGTCCTGCCAGCGCCGCAGGGCATGGCCTGTCCCCTAAGGTACGTGTGAAACTGATGCTACAGGAGGTCCAGCCTCAAGCTGGCAAAAGGACATCAGCAAACAGAGACTCCAACTCCCACCTTCTGGGGTCAGGAAAGCTCCTTTCTCAATTTTTGCAAAGCAAAAGGCAATGGTGGGTTTAGCTAGTATGGAGCCATCTCTTCCCACCCTCGGATCCTCCATCTACCTTTGCCAGACAGACCAAGGGCTGAGTGCATCCGAGTCCTGGGGATAAGCCAGATCTCAAGGAAAGCATTTTGTGAGATCATGTCTGCGCCGGAAAAGATTCTCTCATTCTGAAACTGATTTTGAAATTCTCAAAATTACAGTACTTTACAATACAAAATGTCTCCATTCAGTATTATGTCATTTTACTCCTTCTGGGATTATAATAATTATTAAAAACACTTAACTTTCTAGAAAGGACAGAACACCACAAAAGAGACCAAAGAGTAACGGGAAGGCTGCTGTAGTATATCAAAACCAATTTAGTGCAAAGGAGAAGGGGACTTTCAAGAATGGTTGATGGAAAGTGTTCCTCATATGCTCATTTGGAGAAAAGGCATTGATTTAACCTCTGAATGAGATCAGATTGCCAGCTTCTATCCTGAAGCTTTAGAACATCAACACAAAAGGACTGTAACACAATATGCATGGCCATTAAAAAATAATATTATATATAGATATATATATATATAGAGAGAGAGAGGGAGATGTTTTCCATGTATGGTATTTCATTATAGGAAAGTGTCCCTGCAGACAGGCATTTTCTGCCATCAGGCTCTTTTGGGCCATTTCCCCCACAGATGTTGATTATGTGTCTCTTTGCCAAGGTCTAAAGCACGTGCTGAGCACAGAGTGCCTTTGGGTGGGATGATTGTTTTCCAGTCCCCCCACAGCTGCCACGGTCCCTGGGCCTGTGAGGATGCCCGACCCTCCGCCGTGGCCGCCTGCGGGACGGCTCAGACCGTGGTCTCATCCGCGGCCTTCTTCATGAGCTTGGCGGAGAGCAGGGAGTGGGGCACGGGGTGAGGGCTCCGCGAGGCCGGGATCATCAGCCGGACCTTCTGGTTGGTCCTTCGCCACTCCGAGTACAGCTGGCAGTGGTAGCGGAACGAGACCTGGTGGGGGAGAACGCAGCGCTGTCACCAACCCCGGCCACGCTGTCACAACCCCGGCAGAGTGTCACCAACCCCGGCCACGCTGTCACAACCCCAGCAGCGCTGTCACCAACCCTGCCCGCGCTGTCACCAACCCCGGCCACGCTGTCACCAACCCTGCCTGTGCTGTCACCAACCCTGCCCGCGCTGTCACCAACCCCGGCCACGCTGTCACAACCCCGGCAGAGTGTCACCAACCCTGCCTGTGCTGTCACCAACCCCGGCCACGGTGTCACCAACCCTGCCTGCGCTGTCACCAACCCCGGCCACGCTGTCACAACCCCAGCAGCGCTGTCACAACCCCGGCAGACTGTCACCAACCCTGCATGCGCTGTCACCAACCCCGGCCACGGTGTCACCAACCCTGCCTGCGCTGTCACCAACCCCGGCCACGCTGTCACAACCCCAGCAGCGCTGTCACAACCCCGGCAGACTGTCACCAACCCTGCATGCGCTGTCACCAACCCCGGCAGACTGTCACCAACCCCGGCCACGCTGTCACCAACCCTGCCTGCGCTGTCACCAACCCCGCCCATGCTGTCACAACCCCAGCAGCGCTGTCACCAACCCCGGCCACGCTGTCACCAACCCTGCCCGCGCTGTCACCAACCCTGCCCGCGCTGCCACCAACCCCGGCACACTGTCACAACCCCAGCAGTGCTGTCACAACCCCGGCAGACTGTCACAACCCCGGCAGCACTGTCACCAACCCCAGCCACGCTGTCACAACCCCGGCAGCACTGTCACCAACCCCGGCCACGCTGTCACCAACCCTGCCCGCGCTGTCACCAACCCTGCCTGCGCTGTCACCAACCCCGGCACACTGTCACAACCCCGGCAGCGCTGTCACCAACCCCGCCCACGCTGTCACCAACCCCAGCCACGCTGTCACCAACCCTGCCCGCGCTGTCACCAACCCTGCCTGCGCTGTCACCAACCCCGCCCATGCTGTCACAACCCCGGCAGCACTGTCACCAACCCCGGCCACGCTGTCACCAACCCTGCCTGCGCTGTCACCAACCCCGGCCCAGCCCCAGAGCACACGTAGGAATGGCCCAATGCCCATACCCCTCTGCCTCTGGGACCCTTTATCCTGAGCAAGGGACACAGCACTGACCCCGGCACGGTTTGGGGCACTCATGTCCCCAGCCTGACAAGCAATCAATCCCTTCCTGGGGACACCAGGCTGAGTGGGGCACAGCCAAAGGGGCCTTCTGGGCAGCACCAGCAGAGCGGGATGGGGTTTGCTCAGCTGGGTTTGGGTCCAGGCTGGTGCAGTGTGGTGGGGATGAGCTGCACCTCGCCCCTTCATCCAGCCCCGGGCTTCAGCAGCACCTTCGGTGAGCAAAACAAAGGCCTGAACCCAACCAGCCTCCTCCCATCTCACAGACCCCAGGGGACCTTCTTCATCCTGCACAAAAACCTTCCCTCCTTTGTCTGCAACAACAGGACAGCAGCTGGGCTCATTTTTTCCTGACAACACCGTGGCCTGGGAGACTTGTCTACCCGGAGGGAGATGGGGAGGATGCAAAGGCTGGAGGGACTCAGAGCAGCCCAGCAAGGCCCGAGATGGCCCTGCAGTTTCAGAGCAGCCCTGCGAGGGGAGCTTTGAGCTTGGCTGAAATACCGAATGCAGTCGGCCACTGATCTAAACCAGGCCTTCTTACGGAAGCATTTAGCTGGCAACTGGGAAGTACCAGGAAGTGCATCTGACACAGAAAACTCAGTAAAACTGTTACTTCTGGATGGGTCTATGAGACATCTTATGAGAAATGAAGCTGTGCCACTGTGGCACTGAGGTAACTGAGCTTATTGATGTGTGCACACCCCTCCTTCCTGTTGCAGAGGGATTGTGGCAATAAGACTTTTTGCTGACAAATTCATGTCCCAGTTTTCAGAGAATGCGGAGTTAATGATGGGAACCTCAAGGAAGGCTCCTGTTCCTCACAAAGGAGCTGCAGCCTTGGCTATGGCCTCTCTCACAACCCTCACACTGGTTACAGCCATGAACTCCCCCCCACATATTGTCCCCTTGGACTGCACAGCCCAGGGTTCAACGAGCTGAATATAAATAAAGGGGCTTCACCTAATGTCCTCCCCCGCTCAAGGAAATGTGAAACACAGCAGAATTAGAGCCACTTTAATCAGGACTTGTTACTGCACAAACATTTTTCCATTTCCTCCAGGTTTCCAGCTCCTCCCCACCAGTCCTGAGATAGAGAAGACGGAGACTTCCTCTTAAGGTTCCAATTTTAGCTTAGCTCTCTACGGAAACAAGCTTCATGCAGGAACATGCAGCATGGAAACTTTCCTCCATGGCTCCCATGCAAGGAGTGCCTCCAGCTTTGCCGCCAGGCACTCTCGCCCCCAGAGCAGGGGCTGCTGCAGCACCAGCTCATCCTGCCCTGGTTCCCAGGTCTGTGAGGGAGATTGTAAGGAGTGTCCAGCCCCAGCGGAAGGGGTTACTCTGTGAAATTGGAAAACGAGACAACAAGGAAATGGACTGGGGAATTTCTATTGCCCACAGGACTCCCAGCTTTTTGGGGTCCCACTATTTCTCCTGCATCAAGTGCACTTTTTCCCTTCCCAAAATGATATTTCCCTGCAAGGAGTTGGAAAAGGGCATTGGCAGGGCATGAGCACACAAAGGGCTTGCTTGGAATAGGAGAGCCAAAATCAAGATCCAAACCCAGAAGTCCACCCAGCAACACAAGACAAAAGAAGTGAATGGGAAACAGAGGGGAAGTCCCTGGCCTAGCAGCCCCTAGAGAGAGCAGCCCTGGGGCCCTGGGGAGGGACCAGGCAGCCCCACTGAGCCTCCACTTGTGCCACAGGCAAACCTGCATTCGCTGTCCTGCTCTTCTCAGCTCCCTATCTCTCAGCAAGATACAAGCTCCTCGCCCCCTAATTCAGCACATCCAGAAAAGGCATCTGCATGAAGCTCTCTCCCAGCAGGGATCAGTTCAACACCCAGACTGGCTCAAGTGCAGGTTCCCAGCAATGCCCAGTGCCCCCATGCAGCAGTGGGCCAGGGCACACCGGCTACCAAGCCTTGACTTGGGGCCGACCACACAACCCAGCATCAGAGAAGCCACAGGTTTCCCCAGGGCCAGAGAGTTCCTTCCACACACCTTAAAAATACTGCATAGGAGTTTGTTTAGTTGTGGCCAGAGACCCCCAAGGCCAGTCTGCACCCCAGCTGGGCACAGCCAGTCTGTTCTCAGCAGCAAAAGCACAGAGGGACATGATGTAAATTATTTAGGTGTCAAATGTGTTCCATATTTTACTTGTCCCCTGCACTGCCCAGGTACCAAGTTTGTGTTTTTTCTTGAACCACAGATGGGCCACTGCCTGACCCAGCCCCAGCCCCATCCCAGCTCCAGCACATCTGTGGCTGGTTGGGTTCTGACACTTGGGGAACACAGTCTGGAAAGCAGATGACCAGGAGGTGATTTTCCATTCTCAGCTTGCACATGAAGATAACTAAATGGACATTCAAGTGGAAGAGCCCAAGGTGTTCTCACACGGGGAGGCAGAAATAGCAGGTGCCACTGATGAGGTGTGAGCCAGTGCTCCCAGCTCCTGCTGGAGCAGGACCCTGGCAGCTGGCACTTACCAGTGTCCAGAGGACGTAGATGGTGAAAAGTGCTATAGTGAGTGCTATGAGTCCGATGGCCTCCAGGCGGCTGTTGAACTGCAGGTGGTCCTGGGCGCCTCGCAGACACAGCCAGCCCGAGATGGCCGCCAGGGGAGTGATGAACAGGAAACACACCATGTCACAGAACAGCGTCCTCTTCTCATTGCGGGGCCCGGGGTCCTTCAGCCACTGCGGGAAGGACAGAGAAGGGATCAGCCTGGGACAGGCAGGAGAGCTGGGGACCTCTGGCCTGCACTGTGCAGTCTGACTCACACCAACCTTCTCCTAAAGGGAACCAGAGAGTGGCAAGTCTAGGTTCAACAATTAACAAGGGAAATGGAAGAAACAGTTAATGAACATGTACAGGGAAAGGCAGTCATGAATACAGAAGCTCCTGGACTCTCCTCTGGAGTAGTGAGGAGCAGGCACTGCAGGACATCAGTTCAGTAAAGCCTGGCTTAATATGAATCTGACAGGTCTTGGACTAAACTTAAACAGAAACAGACCCAGGACTCTTAACTGGTGAAGGAGACTGTGGGAAACAGGGGCACTGGGGTCTGCAGCAAGGCCAAGCTATAACAGCATCTGTCCCAAATCTAGCCCTTGAGTTCCTGTGGGAGAATCACAGCATTTTAGAGTTTCACAGGCAATCTCCAAATGTTTCTTTCTTTTGGGAGTCCTGACTTGCTTCCAGTGTGGGTTCATTTTAGATACTTCAGTAACAGCAATTGTTCTATTTTCCTAGAATTATGCTATTTTCAGCCTTTCCTTTCCTTTTTTAGAATAGCAAGAAGCTGTGGTTCCTACAGATACCAAATTGTTACAGCACATCTTTACTGGGATCTGTGTGTGCTGGCCTGCAGATTCTTCCTTCTTCTCCTCACAAAGATGACTGCCTCATTCAGGATTTTTTGAATTTTATTTTTAGATAAGACTTGGAGAATATTATTGAAAAGGCACAGGCAGAGCAGGGAAGAGACTATCATGGTCTGGGCTGTCCGGCCAATCCTCCTGTATGGTACCTGCTTTGGAACAGACAGCTTGGGAAGGGACTCATCTGGGAACTTGTACACAAAGCTCCTTTCCTACTCAGAATCCACCCTTTAAGGAGCAATACACAAGTGGTGGTGATGGTGACAGGTATGCAAGAAACCATGAGACCTCAGCAGAGGTAACCTGAGGACATGGCTGGCCAGAGGCATGCAGGTCAAGAGGGAAGCAAGGCAGGGGGCACAGAGGTGACTGCAGATTTAACTGCAGCAGGGATGTTCAGTGAGACAGAGCAAAAGGGTGAGAACGGGACTGGAAGCACAGCCAACTGTTGTGGAAATGGGAAAGAGAAGGGGCAGCTGGCAAACCTGGGCATGGAATAGGGGGGTAGCTAGGCTGATTAGAGCCACAGGAACAGCAGGTTCTGCAGCACCTGGGACAGGACACTGAGCTGGCCATGAGCAGAGGAGAGGACGCTGCAGTGACAGGAATGAGCCTGGCCCAGAATTCCAGCTGGGAGGACTCATAACCACAGTATTTTAGGGATGTGACCTGAATCATCTGAACGCTTCAGTGGTAACAGTGAAGGAACTTTATTGATTCTAAAGCCATTTGGAGCATGACTTGATGGGCAGACAGCCAGAAGAAAACCTCACAGAATCACTAAGGTTGGAAAAGACTTCAAGATCATCAAGTCCAACCATCAACCCAGAGCTACCTCCAAACCATGTCCTCAAGTCATCCACATACTTTTTGAACACTTCAAGGGATGGTGGCTCCACCACTGTCCTGGCAGCCAGTTCCAATGCCTGACAACCCTTTCCAGGAAGAAATGTTCCCAATATCCAACCTAAACCTCTTCTGGCACACCTTGAGGCTGTTCACTCTCATCCTGTCGCTTCTTCCCTGGGAGCAGAGCTGGACCCCCACCTGGCAGCATCTTCCTGTCAGGGAGAGATAACAGAAGGTCTCCCCTGAGCCTCCTTTTCTCCAGGCTGAGGCCCCCAGCTGCTCCTGGTACTCCAGACCCTTCCCCAGCTCTGTTGCCCTTCTCTGGACATACTCCAGTGCCTCAGTGTCTTTCTTGGACTAGGCAGCCACCCCAGGATTTGAGGTGGGGCCTCAGCAGTGCCCAGCACAGGCAGATGGCCACAGCCCTGGTCCTGCTGGCCACACTGTGGCTGGTACAGGCCAGGTGCCATTGGCCTTCTTGGCCATCTGGCTCACATTCAGCCACTGCTGACCAGCACTACTAGGTCTCCAGTGGGCAGCTTTCAGAGCAGGCAGAACTGTCATTTGGACCGGACTGGGAGAAGGGAGACAGACCTGCAGCTCCCCCCTTGTATGGCTCTGCAGAGGAATCAGTGTGATGAGCTGCATGGGGACAATAACCACCACACATGCAGTCTGAGCAGTCCTGGGAGGATGTGAGGGTGGACAGCAACTCATTGGCAGAGGAAAGCTGTCCCCATACACAGTGCTCAAACCCAGCCTTGTGTCAGACTCTCCCCAGTCCAGGGCCAGGACAAGGCTGCCTGGTGACACAGCACTCAGGCGAGTGCCAAATCACCCAGTCTGGACCAAGTTCCCTCTAGCAGCAAGCCCAGAGCACCCCATTCTATGCAACAGGACATGTTGAGGCACTTGTGACCCTTGTACAGTAAGAAGCTCAGGCAGATAGGTATTTCACTGCATCTTAATTCTATTTATATTCCTTGTGACTTTTGAAACTCCTTCCTCCTCCCCAAGATGGGAGACAAACATATAAAGGCAGGAAGCAAATTAATTTCCTTTTGAAGCAGTTGATTTACTTTGCCAATATGCACTGACACAGCAACAAAATGGAAAACAATAAGTCACTCTAAGGGTGCAGCATTTCTGGCACAGCAACACTTTGGTGCATACGGGACTTTAAATAAACTTTGCCAACAATCCATAAAATGGTCAGGCAGATTAAACCATTTTTGTAGGGAAAACTATCAAGTGAGCATGGGAAAGCAACAAAAGTACAACTTGGTCTTCTTCTGGCAGCTTCCACGCTGCAATCATGTCTGAGACTGAAAGGAAAGAGGCAGAGGTGGCTGCTTGCTGCCATTTGGGCTGAGTCCCAGATCCTGCTTGCAACAACTTCTCTCTGCTTGTGTGACAGAATTTTGGGTATAACCATATTTCTTTGTCCTCCAGCATGATCATGAGGCTTTTCCAGATACTAGGATCAGCAGGGTTATGGAAGAGAGCTCATTTCTTAGAGCCACAGCAGGGCTGTGGGATGATGAGAAGCTGACCTTTGGGTGCTGCAGTGCCCATGGAGCTTGGGTGAGCCCAAGGTGATGGGGGGCAGGAGGAGAGCAGGCAGTAAAAGGCACCAGGACATCATCAGCTCCTCTGGAAGCCAAGAGCAGAATTCAAAGCATATCAGAGCAGTCTCTCATCCATCCCAGCACCTGCTGCTCCATGTATCTCAAAGCTGGGGGGCATTCTGCCCCTTGGGACCAAGGGGAGTGGAGAGAAGAGGGACTCTCCCAGCAGCACTCAGCACCTTGCAGTCTGTCTGGGGGCTTAAAAATGGATGCTTTAAAAATTAGCTTTCATTGATTCTTAGAGCTGACTCACTCATTGAGTGGCTGAATGTGAGCTGTCAGCTGTTTCATGAACACATCCCATGCAGCACTCAGTGCAGTGCAGCACAGCACTGGAGAGACCAGCACGTGCTCACATCTCTCCCTGCCCTGCACTGGCCCCCTCGCTCTGGGGGCCATGAGTCAGGAGCAGTGTGAGCTGCCAGCCTCACCACCAACCCTGCCAGAGTTCCCCACGTGCTTCACAGCTACAGCACAATGGCAAGCCACAGCACCACACAAGCATTTGGCTGCATTACAAAACATCCCACAGGCTTTCTGCCCACAAGACAGTTACCCTCTGGCTTCTCAGGTGCCTGCTGATTTTTCTTTCACTGCTGACCTGGTGCCTGGCTATAAAAGCCAGAAAAAAAATCACATTAACTTGATCACAGCAGCACTATTAGTCCTGTACCTGTACTGAGAAACATGTTGAATCAAATAGTACAGCTTCAGATGAAGGACTCTCATATCCCTTCTCTGGGCCTGCACCAAAACCCTTCTGCAGGCATTGAGATCCATGGGCAGCCCCAGCAGAATGGTCCTGTCTCCTTCACCAAGGTGGGAAGGGATGTTTTCTGACAGAGTACCCAGAATTCAGGAAGCCAAGACCCAGAAATGCCCCTAGCCCTGCAAGCAGAGCAGTTAAATGCTGCACAAAGCTTCCCCTCCCCATCCTCCTTCCCCCAGATACCTGCCAACAATGCCCCATAGACCTCCACAACCCAAATCTCTCCTTGAATAGGCATGAAAGCCTTCCCTACACCCTCAGCTGCTGGGAAGCACAGGGCTCTGGGCTGACCCAAGGGATTTAGGAGCACTAGAAAGGGTGGACAGGAGAGGAACAGACCCAAGCAGTGCTGCAGGTCACTGGGACACTTTCCTCCAGAGAGAGCAGCACGAGCTCCCATGGTTGGTGGCACCATGGCAAATGCCACACCATGACATGTGCCAGTACGGGATCACAGCACCTCAGAGAAAGCTCACTGGTCTTCTGGATCAGCACAGCACAGACTGGGCTGGACAAAGTGGTGAAGAAGGACAGGTAAGGAAGACTAGTGCTGGTGAATATCAAGAGTGCAAGGGTATTTCCTGTTTTGGCCCCAAACAGGCCATTGCTTTATGCAGAGCAGTGCCCAGGACTGCACAGAGAAGTGCCAAGAGGATCTCATGTTGGACCTGTGACCAGCATCTCCAGACAGCAAACTTAAGTAAAGAGAGAAAGGAAAAGATTAGAGCAGTGGGAACTCAGCTGGAACCAAGGAGGATTTGTTTTTCACTAGATTCAGGAGTGTAAAAGAGGTGTGCATTGAGCAAGAAGAGAGGTGGGCTGGGGAAGGGCAGAGGAGCACGGATCAGACAACAGTGCAGTGAGTTCAGCAGAAGAGTTCGAGGAAAGCAAAGAGAAAAGTCTGTCTGCAAGGAAGATAAGGCTGGAGGAAGGGTGGGGCAGAGCTCATATCACAGCTCAGTTCTCTGAACTGCAGGGGGGACAGCGAGTGCTGCGCCGGGCGCTGCGCCCAGAGGCAAAACTCCTTTCCCTAGTAACGCAAGCAGGAGGAACATCACCATTCCTGTGTGCCAACCTCCCTTCTCGTGTTCCAGGGACATCTCTGCAGCACCTCCCACAGCCACAGAGGTCCAGGAGACTCAGGAGACAAAGCAGAAGGACTGCACAACCCACGGGAGGCGTCCCCTACTCTAGCATAACCTGCAGTCAAGCAACTCCTCAGAGAATTTCAAACACATTTCGTTGTGTGTGACATTGTGTTTGAAAATTGTACTTTCAAGAGACAAAAAAAATAATCCACTGACCTACATAAAATATCCAGTTTAAATGAACCAAAAGTGTTAGCAGTCATTGAAAAGTAATCATCTTTAATCAAAATTGCACCATAAACTCCAAGAAGAACAGCAGGAGCAAAAAACTGCCAGGGTCCTGTACAGCACAGCACTCTTGGAAGGAGGAGCTGTTTTGAGGAGGCAAAGGAGCACACCAGAATCACTAAAGCAGCCCATTTATAAATAAAGTTATTAAAACACACACTGCTGGAAAACACCAGCAGAATTGAAATACAGAAGCAGAATTTTCTTGGGACTCCATGATGAGATTTGCTTGCAAGGACAGAAATAGGGAAACAAAAGATGTGGCTGGACTGCTCCAACAGTCACTGGTTCACCAGAGAAATCTTTTTTGTAATTAGTGAGATGTCTTAAATGATTTTTGCCTTAGCAAAGGAATTAAATGCTTGCAGAAGCATTGTGATCAAGTCTTGCATTGTACTTGTTAGCTTTCACCATGAGGTTATGCTGACTTTCAACCTCCCAGTAATTTTAGCAAAGCCAGAGTCTTTGGCCTCTGCACCAGCAGTTTGTGTCCTCTCAGAGCAGAGACCTGAAACTCCTGGCTCCTCTGCCTGGTATTTACATTATGTGTGAACAAAAACACACCCTTCCTGTGGAGTGATTTTTGCTGGGACCCAGCAGCTGCTGCTCTGACACCTGCCTGACCTGCAAGCCCAGGACATTTCTGCAGAGACCTGGGCTGGCAGCACAGACCTGACCCAGCCCCTCCCCATGCCAGGACTGGCCTCAGAAACCACAGCTGGTTCACAGCAGAGGCACATGGCCCCAAACAGGAGTCTTTGGGCTGCTGAGGTGGTGCTTCTCTTCAGCCCAATCAGAAACACTCAGAGGGCACAAAATTAACAACAGCTTGAAACTTTAACACTTTACAACAGGTTAATGAACTGAAGAGAGAAATGAGAGGGTAGGTGCCACAGCAAAACACACAAAACAAGGCAGCCATGGAGAGGAAATACCTTTGCTGGTAATCTGGGAAAGTAAAAATGGGCAAGAGTGGGCTCAGGTACACCAATACAGACCAACCCACACAGCCCTGTCCCTCTGTGGGCAGTGGGCTGCAGCCAGGGGGAAGGCCAGAAGGGCTTGTGGCTGCACAAACACAGCCACACTGTCACCCTTGGTAATGCTTTCTGGAAATACACAACATATCCAATACAGTCCCAAATACCCCCACCCACACAGCTCTGCCTGAAATCCCAAAGGGCAAAGTATCTCCAGCAGGAAGACCACTTTGTAGAGAAAATAGGTTTGTGATGGTTTTTGCCCCAGACCAAAGAGAAGAGTTATGTGCAAGGGAAAACATTAAGGACAGAGGCAGGGGAGGCAATATTTTGACTCCTACACAAGTTGCCTGGTTCTCCTACATGAAGAGGCAAACTCCTCCAGACAAGGTGACACATCCTAACTTAGCCTTCTAAGGAGGCAGGAATTAATTGATCACAAGAGGTATTCCCTTCTCCATCCACTATATAGGACTTTAAAGAACAAGGTCTGGCTGAGGCACATTTAAGGCATGAAATGTTAGGACAAATAAACTCAATCATGCCTAGAGAATTGTATGATCACCTGTGGCCTGGGAGAAAGAGCTGTCTAGGCTGCAGCAATCCTTCAGGTCCAAAGGCCTGCACTCCTCCTTCTGCCATGCTCTGGACAGCAAAGATACAGATACTCCCTGAAGAAGAATCCTAGGCAGTAACTGGGAATTCCCTGTGCATGATATTATTAGAACAAAGAGGAAAGTAGTTCCTCCAGGAAAACTGTGTCTGGTGTAACTTACACTTCAAATACTTCATCTAAGTATCAAATGACAAAATCTTCCAGGGAACACAAAGTATTTTGCCTTTTTTGACTATGCCAGCCATGTTGGCTAGAGTGTCCTGGAGTCAGATCACTTTTCTGTAAGCATATGGAGGTCCATTAAATTAACAATCATACAGGAAAACCACCCCTCTCTGAGGCTTGGCCATTTTGTTCTCTGCTGGAGACATGCTCCTCACTCAAGAACCCTGGTCCACAACTGTCCTGTGCTGGAGACCACTTGAGAGCCGAGCAGAGAAGCCTTTCTGTCCTCTCACAGCACAGGCACCAGTGTCCTGCACCTCTGGCTACAAAACTCTCCACTCAGGGCAGCAGGTGAATTCTCCATCTACACCTGCATGTTCAAAACATGTCCCCCAAAACATGCCCCCACTCAGCCCAGTGATCTCACTGCTGGACAGTTTTCCAAAGCCTTTCTTTTTTTTTTTTTTAGCTTTCAACCTGCTTCTTAGTTAAAAAATAGCTCAGCTAGGCTGAACTGCAGGAGGTATTTCCCCCACACCCATGGCCAGCCTGTGGTTGCCCGAGCTGGCTTTGGGCTCAGACGAGTTCCTCACTCTGGGTTCAGAGATCAGGCACGCTGGCAGTCAACACTGTCACTGTTTTTACATTGAACAGACCACAACATAAATCAATGGCTGCTTAAAGAAAACAAAAATATAATTTTTTAACAAATTATCTTTAATCCATACTGGACAAAGTTGACACCTGTCCTCTCTAAAAGAGGCTGTAAAATTCAGTTACTGTTTGTGAAGTGCTTGGATGTCACAGTAATAAGAACCCCAGAGAAGCTTGTGAGAAAATGAAGTTTGGTCTTGGTGAACAAGGACATAGCAGGATTAATACAGTTAGCTAGTGAGCATCTTCCATCCATGCACTCCTTCTGGAAGACACAGCCTGTGACCATGAAGACCACACTGTAACACAGATAGACAAGAGGCCTGAAGTAAAAACTAAGGCAATTTTGGTCATGGCGTTTCCTGACTTCTAAGAAATCAGGAAGTTTACACAGAAGAATTTCAACTTGGCCATGTAGCTTCCCCCCAGTACTCACCAAAATGTCTCCTGCATCCCAAAATCAGCCTCAGACCCTTTCCTTCTGAAGGATCTCAAAACCACATGACAAAGCCAGTTCTTAATGAAGCTGATGGTCCCTTCCCAGAGATGAGCTGACCAGTGACTGCTGCTGCCACTATGACCAGCTCTAAGTTTCCCCAGGCTGGAAAGGCAGAACATGGCAGAACCAACAGCAAGAGCTGCTTTCTCCTCAGAGGCCCAGCAGCAGCAGGTACCACGTTACCAAATTCCTTTGTGGCCAGGTGACAGCAAAAGAGAGCTAGAATGCTTGGGGCAGCCTTTCACACATGGGGCAGACCCTTCTGCCATGCAGCATGCCCCTGCATCATTCCTAATCCTAGTCTCCAGCCATTTATCCTCTGCTCTTAATTTCTATTTTGATTTCACAGCTTTACTTGGTGAGCAGTGGATTTTTATCAGGGCTCCTCAACAGCACACTCACCACAAACATCACTTCCCCCAAAGTTTCAAAACACTCCCCACCCCTCCTCTCAAACAACCAAGAGGCAGAGAACTTCCCAGATAAGGTGGCTGGTGGAACTGTAGCATTTTTAAATGACTAAGCAGCTCTTTCCCAAGCCCTCTTCTCAGAAACAGATGAACAACTTAGAGATGACACTTCCCAAAAGTATTTGGTTTGGTATGGGGATAAGATTGCACCAGACTGCAGGCAGAGTATTAATGGCAAGTGCTAGCCAGCTGGCCAAGGGTTATCAGCTCCTGCCAAAGGGCAGAGCCTCTGCTACCAGCGGGAGCTTCCCAAAGTGCTCACACTTGGTCAGTTGGCCTCTAACCCCAGCAAACCCCAAGGGATGAAGCACACTCACTGTCATTGCCTCTGCACAGCAGATTGCAGTGGTGCAGGAGCTCAGAGTGGCTGTAAGATCTTCCAATGAAAATGAGAAATTGAACTCCAGGTCACTTTCCCCAGGCTCCAGGCAAGGATCAGAGGGTTTATAGCATGGTGGAAGTAATACAACAAAACCAGGTGGCCTTTCAAGCCAGGTGAGCCCACGTGCTGATGAGCACAGGGGGCTGTGCAGGGCCCCAGCACACCTGAGTGCTGCAGCCACAGGACACTGCTGTACCCCCCCACTGCACTCCATTGCCTTGGGGAGTGCTGCCAGCCTTGGAAGAGGGGCAAGAGCAGCCTGCTACCATGGGCTGTGTCAAACCAGGCTATATGCTGCTTTCCAAGCCAGGGAAAACCTTTCTGCCACTGAGCTGCTGGCAAGGGAACTGCTCTGGGGCTGTAGCATGCTAGGCTCTGCTCTGCAGCAGGGATCACTCTCACCAGCTACCTGGTGACTTTCATCACGTGCTTACCAGCCTCCAGGCTCACAAGGCACTTCAGGCAAGCTGCTCCCCAGCAGACACCTCAACAGAGTAGATCATCTCCTTCACTGTGCTCACAGACAGTCCAAATACACCAGAAGTAGTAAACCACTGGAATCCCAAAGCCTTTGCCAGCTGGCAGTGATGGCTCAAGAAGTCCATTCCTCTCTGAAAACACAGTGGCAGTTCTCCTGTGTTTGAGTTCATTAAATGCTGCCCACCCATCACCTCTCAGCACCCACAGTTTGTTGATCACCATACCCTTATAGGCGCTAGTCCAGAGGGGCTTTTCACAAATTTCAACAGGAACTAAAATTGATTGTCCTGGAACGCTCATTCACCCACACTGAAATACAGACAAAACTTTTCTGTCCCACTCTCCCAGCAAGCTCCTCATGCCAGATGGAGGCACAGAGTTGGTGTCACAGGAAAAACTCCTCCAATACACACTAGCCTTTGAGCTTTTATTTGAGTGTGCAGTTTTCCAAGCCTATGCTTGTTATGAGGTGCCACAGCATCGTGAAAGATGGCTGAACGCACTCCCACGTGTTTGTTTCTGGCTAGGAATATTTAATATTTATTAACCAGTTCTTAAGCTAAAACATCTGAGACCTGCACTCACGACTTGGCCTGCATAAGCCTTAGCAAGATCACTGCCCCTGGGCTTGCCTGCACTGTGTACTCAAAGACAAGGTACGGCCCTTCCTAAATGTTTTAAAGCAGTGTTTTGCAACCTCTGAAATAAATGTTTGAGAGATATTGGCCAAAGCACCAATTTATATGTCTGAGCAGCTAGGAGAGAAGCAGTAAGACCCTAACAGCAGTAACCACTGAGGTAATGCTCATACAAATTACTGTGTTAGATACATGGTTTGGGTTAGCACTGCAGGCTAAAGCCTCCTCCTGTCTGGGGCTGTCAAGTCCATGACAATCAGTTGTAAGTTAAACAGTCATTAAAACTTAGTATCTACTTTGCAAACTGAAGCTTGAATGCTTCCCCAATTGGTGGACTCTTTTCCACTCAAAGGTTCACTAGGAGGAGATGGGAGTATGAGAAATAGATCTGGGGACACTGGAAAGGAGGAGGGGACAAATATTGTTTCCAGATGGAGGTGGGAAGAGAAAAGAAGCAACCTCTGGAATTAATAGGAATGGAAACAGAAATGTGGAAAGCAACTTAGAATTCCAGCTGTGACTCAGTTTTGACCTAACTGATGGGGCAAGGGGCAGGAGAGCGTGGACAAGAGCAGTCAGCATTACAAATCTGAAATAACCCTGCCTCCACACACGCTCTGGTAGCAGGTAGTGACAAATCCCTGACAGCTGCCAGGTAACAGGAGCCTGATGCTAAGAACCAGCTCCCAGAGCTCCCACTGGCTGATGGCTGCAGAACCTGGGACTCCCAAAACTGTTAGGTGTAAATGCCCAGCTGCAGAGTGACACTTCTCTGCACTTGCACAGGGTGTTGAAGGAATGGCCGAGCCACTGACACAGGAGAGCTCACTCAACTGCAGACATATTACACCATCTCTAAAACAAATCCTTAAGCCTTCTGTATTGTACCTCACAGGTCTACTTATTCCTCTTTTGGGGATGTACACTTGAACCCTGAGGTCAGACAATGGCCTGGTCCATGCTGCCTTTGTTCCCAAAACAAAAAAACCCAACGCACCAGCCAGAGCCTGCATTGTATGTTCCAGCTCTGGGAGGCTGAGGGACTGATCCCCTGTGGTCAACACAGAGAGGAACATGAGGACCAGCTAAGCCCTGTCTTGTTTTCTCCTTCAACTGGGAGGAGCACAGAGCAGCAGGAAGGATCAAAGCCTGAAGGAGCACACATCAATATTAGTCATGGGAAGACAGGTCTTTTACAAACAGTATCAGCAATCACCACATCTCACTTTTCAGAACAGAACATGACAAGGAAGGCACATGCAAGAGAGCTGCACTAATCTAACACTGAGATAAGATTAAAACCAGGAGCAAAAAAAAAAGAATATTTATGAGAACTTCATAATTCAGTCAGTCATGCTGTGACACCTGCAATTTGATGCTCAGGCAGTAAAGCACAGCCAAAAAAGCACAGTGCTTGCCACTGGCAGGTGCCATGTGGGCAGGTCACAGGTGGGAGCTGTCCCAAACACCACTACTGTGTGTTTGCAACTACCTCACTTGGTCTGACAAGGGACTTGATCTCTTCAAACACTCTTCTTTGTGAGTACAAAGGTACTGCAAGGAGGAGGAGACACCAAGAACTACAAGAACAGTAGGGCAATCAGTCATTTTCTCTCAAATGATATGGAAATAAAAATGAAGCAGGAAGAAAATGGTACCTCTGTCAAGGGTCTTGGTCTTCTTTCTACAACAAATTCTGTGTGGCAGAGCTCACAGTAACTTGTGTTGGAGGAGGATAACCATTTTTCCAGGCAGCTCTTGTGCACGGTGCCCAGTGTTCCTGTGCAGTCACATGGGGAAAGCAGTCCCTCCCCATTTCCACCTTCATGACAGATTCGACAGATGGGACCATCACTAAAGAGGCAGAATGAGAGACAAACAAAATGAAATCACAGTCAGAGCAGGCAGAACAGCACTGCCATAGGGTCTGGTCCCACCAAGCCCCAGAAAGGCACATGAACAGCAGGCAGTGTGTGGCACAGCATGCCAGGAGCCTGCTGCAGCAAGAAACCAGTCTCAGGGGACAATGGAGGTGCTCAGGACATTTTAGATAATTTAAAATCTGGAAGACCCATAACAACAAGAGAAGATGGCACATCAGCCTGGCCAGCTCAGCTGGCCCCACAAGTGACTGCAGTGCACGTCCTGTAGTCTTCAGCTCTGCCCACAGGCAGGGGCTTATACCAGACCCAACACCAAGCCTGAAGCACTCATGCAAATCCAGACACTCAAAGCAAAGCCAAATGACCCACAGTAGTCACAGCATGCCCCAGCCACCTGCAGCTACTCAAGAGGTTGGCACTCAGGTCACATTTACCAGATCACCTACCCACTTTCAGCCAACCTCAGCTCTGCAGCCTGGGCTGAGCAGGAACTGCAAAAGGAACAGCAGTATTTCAAGAGACAACTGAATTGACCCTGGAAGTTCTACTCCCCAAGAATACAATATATTTCACAGCAGGTGTGCACCCAGAGCAAGGTCTCCAAACCCTCTGCCCATCACTGCACAGTAACTCTCCAGCATCCTGTGGGCACACCTTCCCCAGACAACAACTGTCCTGCAGAAATGCTTTGGTGCTTCAGGAACAACACTTCCTTGGCCACGAGTTCCAACTACAGAATCACACAGAACCTCACAGAACCAGAGATATCTAGCAAAGCAACTAACAAATATTTTCAGAGACACTTGCAACCTTCCCCACAGGAGGCCTGAGCTGCTCATCACACTCAAAGTATCCATCTGTTCCCACGATATTCCTCACACCTTCAGCTGGCACCACTGACTGAACAATTCACACCTTTCACTAGACCTTTCACTAGACCAACTTGCTCAAGGCCCCAGCCAACCTGGCCTGGAACACTTACAGAGATGGGGCATCCCAGCTGGCATCCCATGGCACAGGTTTCCTAGCAGCCCTGTGCCACACATGCCAGCCCCATGATGAGGATATTCTGGACTCCCTGGGAAGCCCCAGATGGCTGTAGACACCACAGTTTGCTGTTCTCAGCAGTTCAGGTAATTTCTTCAGCATTCACCAATCACTGAGATAATTTAGGAACAAAATGCTGGACAGCAGAGGCCCAGGGCAGGATTGCCTTCCCTGGACCATGGAAACCAGGCCCTCACTAGTATCTCATTTCCACCTGCCAAACAGCCATTTCTTTCACACAGTTTTCCTCTTACATCCACAGCTGCCCAGATTTGGGGGTGCAAGAGGGGGTGAAAAAGGAACATCTTTGTTTCAAAGACCCTATTGTAGGTCCTCTTGAAATCCAGGTCAGTGGTATCAAATATCACCTTTTCCTAGATACTGCTGACAGAACAAAAAAAGCCACATTGAACCCATATAATAGTTCACACTCAACTGCTATTCTGACTTCAAAAAACCCCACCTGACTACAGAAGTTTGTGGGATTGCAACACAACAGCCAAAGCAATCTTCAAAACCAGCAGCACCACCTCCATTAGTTTGCACAGAAAGCAAGAGTGAGGCATGGAAGCACAGTTCAAGGAAAAGGAGCACACTGGGGAAAAAGGTTGGTGGGACATAAGGGAAAGACAAGAGCCAGCAAGGAAGTGCATGTCAGCTCCCTAAAGGAGAAGCAAGATTCCTCAGGAGATCTCTCCCACAGGATATCTCTACCACTTTCAATTCAGTATTTAGCTGGTTTCATTCCAATTGGACTTTTATTTATATTTAGGGCTGCAAAGCAAATTACACCAAATGTACACCATCCCTTTCTCTCTGCTAAACATCACTGTTGAACCACTGATCCATGTTCTCTCCTCCTTTTTACATGCCTTTTATTGAGGGGATTTCTTCAGCCAAGACAATCCCTGCAAAAGGTGCAACAGGAGTCTGGGAAGGTGGTGGAAATTTCATCCTCAAAGATCCTGGAAACTACATCAGACAAGACTCTGAGCAGGTTTGCTCTAAAAGGAAGCTGGACCAGACATCCTATGGAATTCCCTTCCAATTTGAATTATTTGATGATTGTGCAACATTTATTGCCATAAAATGCTGTACCAGAACAGCGTGCACACAGAGCCCTAGTGACCCAGACAGACAATCCCCTACAGCCTCCAGTGTTCTCATGCATCTGTCATTTCCTAAGAAAAGCATCTGCAAGTTATTTCACCCGTTCTCTTCCTGTTTGTGAAGTTTCATATTTCCAGAACATTACTATAACCTTGGCTATTAACAAACAACCCAAAATGAAAAAGATTGCTGACAGTGGGTGAGAAGAATTCTTATCAGACTTCATTTTCCTTCCTTCCTTTACCCTGCCGGGTGGGGACCCGCTCACACTCCCACATGATGCGCACTCAGACACAGTTTTCCAGCAGGCTGAAGACACCATATTGGTAATTCAACATTCCAGTGCAGTCATGTTGCTCTTGGCTTTGCTGTGCTAAGTGCTGCTGACAAGGAAGACACTGAAACCCACCACCACAAGAAACAAACTGGTGTTCATGTAGAAACACAAGGAATCATTATGGGTTGACCCTAAACATTAAACCCTAAAAACATTAGGGTTTTTAAACCTGTTTCCAGGCAGTTTTCCCACACAGTTATTACACCCCCAGTTCTAAAGGGTTAAACAACTCCTCACCCTGACTATCTACTGCCAGAGAGCAAGCCCAGTTACTTTCACATTTTTATTGACCTGCTCCAGGTTTGCTGGATGCAGCAATTATGTTTGCCTCTATTCTCATCCAGCTTCCCTGCATCCCTCCCCCATGTCTGCAATCACTGCTTTTGTATCACACAAATGTTTGACCAAACTCATTGAAACAAGCAACAGCTGTTCAGACAGGATTTCTGAACACAAAATGTGACAGCTCTCAGTAGATGGACTGAACAATGCTGCCAAATGTCCTCTACTCTGGAAGCTACTCAAAATAAATGACAAGAAGTCGCATCAGGAGGAGTCTGAGCTAGTGAAGCTGCCACGTGTCGCCTCTAGCAATAGCTGGATGCGGTAGTTGCTGCAACACAAACACCGTCCCCTCCCTGCGGCTGAAGATCAACACCACGCCTTCACTCCATGGACGTTCCTGGAACAAGGGCTCGTTCCGGCGAGCACGGCCCAGGTTCACCCCCCGAGGCCGGGAGAGCAGCGCAGCGGAGGCGCTGCCCGTGCCCTGAGGGCTGCAGGAGCCCGGCTGAGGGCCCTGGGCGCGGCCGGCCCGCCAGCAGTCCCGCCCGCCATCAGCGCTCCGGCAAACTCCTTCACAGAACCAGACTTGGTTGTCTCCCTGCACCCGAGCCAGGGGAAGGGCCCGGCTGCGGCTCCGAGCCCCGTCCCGGCAGCAGCCTCACCTCTGGGCGCCCAGCGCCTTGATCACGGTGGAGAGGAGCCGGCCGTCCTTGGCCGTGACCTGGGTGATGTACTGAGGGCGGCCCATGTCCGACTCCTCCACAGACTTGGACAGGGCAGCACTTCCCGGGCAGTCGCAGAGGGAGCCGGGGAGGTGGCAGCAGTCGCCTGTCGTCATGGCAGCTCTGGGCCCCGCTGTCCCGGGCCCGGCACCCGGGAGACCTGCAGGAACAGCACCACAGTCAGATCCAGAACCCTGCAATCCCCAACCCCTCACGATCCTCCAGCCCCACTCGCACTAGGAGCACCCCAGGGCCCCAACACACGCGCGTTTTGTGAGTCTTCTGTCCCCTTTAATAGGCTTTGTGAGGCTGCCTTACCATAACATCAAGGCTCTAAGTGTTCTACTTACATAACTTACCATCAGAATTGCAAATCTGCCTTTCCCAGAGAGAATTCCTGGTAACCACCCTTTAACCTGATGAAGTCTTTTCAAACTGAGTGTGCTGATACAGAGATGGGGAAGGCAACCAGAAGCCCCATGGGCCTGTGCTGTTCTGGCTAGAGCCATCCTGAAAACTTACATTCATACTCTCCATAAATACAGCAAAGTTTCACCTGAACAGGGCACCTAAACCAGTTTAGGTGGCTGGGTTCAGGAGGCCCTTCTCAGCTGCCTTCAGAAGCTTCCTGAGCACTTGAAAGACTGTCCAAGCCCAAAAGGCTCTCCCATCCCATCTTTGATGTTTTTTCTCTTTATTTCATTGAAGAAATACACATGCTCCCATTTCTATATGCACTGTGGTATATCCCAGCAGTAAATGTGTGGACATGGACATCCCAAACCCATCAAAAATCCTCCTTGGGAAGGGCAGCAGGCCAGCCTGACTCCTTTCCCTTTCAACTGTTCAGATCAACCATGACTTTTACAAGAGCCACTTGCAAACAGCAAAGCACACCAGCACATTTTCAACATTCACCCAGCAAACAGAAGACACTGAACAAACAGCAAATCCAAGAAATGGAAAGAAGGTGTAGAGAAAAGCCCAACACAGCAAACCAGGAGCTGGCTCTGATGAGCCACATGTGGAAAGGAGAGCTCTCTGCCTTTGAGGCAAGGCAGCAGCTCACCCAAGCTGCCAGAAACAGCCATGTTCCTCCCTGGCAGGGGGTATCTCATCCCCAAAATAGGGTATGCTCTGCAGATTTAGAAAAATCCTGGTTTTGCCAATTGCCTTTAACCTGGCCCTGAGAGGCAGCTGTGCAGAAATAAAGAGCTGAGATTAGAGTGAGTCACACTGAACACAATCCAACAACATTGTACTGCTGGTAATACCAAAATCCCTGTGTCTGTAAACAGGACTGCCTTATGTAAGGCACGCACAGTAATCCCTGCGCACCAGCACTGCTGGGATCAGAGCTGGAATGCTGCCTCATCCTGGTGGCTGGATTTCAAGATGAAATAAATCCATAAAAGAAGTTCGAATGAAAGCAATAAAAAGGAAAAAAGGGGAGGAATAAAAGGAAGTAAAAGAACCACAGCCCCAAATAAGATATATGAAAACAATTAGGTTTGTTACATTTTGGGGGAGTGGGGAGAATCGGCAATCCTTGCCTCCTGGGGGTAGGAGCAGGCAAACAAACCTTCATCATCCCATCCAAGGAAAGGTTTTTGTTTTGAGATCTCTGAGCACAACAGGAGTCAAACATTCTCATGAAACTGCAGTTCTGTCAGGTTCAACTAAGCCAAAATCTAACAAAAATAACTAAAGAAAATAAGGGCTTGTTCCTGGTTGGAGGCTTGGCCACACTACAGAGGAAAAAGGCCAAAAAGCCGGTACAAGAACATGATCCTTGAAGCCCTGGAAACACTGATTTGGGTAAGCACAAGTGCTTTTTCATGTCTTGGAAATTAAGCAACTCATACAACCAAGGGCTTCATGTGTCAGGACAGCTTCCTTCACGTACATGCATTCAAGAGGGAGAGAGCCCTTCACTGGTGTCTCAGAACCAGACACCAACTTTGGTAGCATTCCCTCACTTTACAGAATAGTTTCTAATTTCTAATAGAAGACTTTCTAATCTCTTTTTCAAAGCTGCTCTTGATAACTATTTGTAATCCTTCCTTCACATCTGAGCAGGAATAAGCTTGAGCTTGTGGGCAGGTCAATCCTCTTCAACATGAACTTGAATCTTTTCATCAACTTAAAAATTAACTTGATAGACTCAGCCTCTCACTCCACCTGTGCAAAGAACACACAGAGTTAGAGCTACTTTTCTTATTTCTCCTCCTCAAAGAAAAGGCTACAAACTCTCGAGCTGCAAGAAGCAAAAAGTAAGATGATAAATGCTATTGGAATTACTTAAGTCAGCTCTTCCGCAAATTAAGGAGTTCTATAAAATTAACAACCTCTTACTGAAACAAGCATGAGAAGATATATGCTTTTAATAAAAAGGTCAGTTCCATTTGTTTGGCCAAAATGTTGTTTATTTTAAAGTTCAGAGGAAAAAGTCCATTCTGCATACTGGAGTAAAACTGCCCTCACTGACTGCATCCTGTGAGTATTTATACTGAGGCTCTTTGTGCTCCACATCTGACAGACACAGGCAGCCCCATGGCTTTGCCCCAGGGCTCTGTTGGGGCTGGAAGGGAATGGCCATCCTGCCGTTCTTCAGGAAATGCACAGGTTTCTGTTACAAGTTATTTGGTGTTTCCTTGTCAGGCTCCAGCCCAGGGTGGAACCTGAAGTCACTGCTTTAATATCTGACTCATGCCATTCAGCAAATATGAAGCTAAAGCAGCAAGATTTTCATGGTTAGTAAAGAAGTAAGTGAAATCCAAAGACAACATCTGCAGTGCACTCGGGTCCCAGTCCCATACCCAGTGGAACATGAACAATGGTGTACAGCCATGTCAGTCCCTTTCCTGATCCCTCAAGGATCAGCACATCAACACACAGCCTTCTCTCACAATTGTCAACAGCTCATCCAACCCAAACCCAGTGTTCACAGAATCTCTCAGGTTGGAAACAGCCTTTGAAATCACCTCGTCCAACTGCTCCCCCAGCACTGCCAAGCCCAACACGAACCCATGTCCCCAAGTGCCACATCCACAGTTTTTAAATCCCTGCAGGGATGGTGATTCCACCACTGCCCTGGGCAGCCTGTTCCAGTGCCTGACCACCCATTCCATGATGGAATTTTTTCAGCCTAAACCTCCTCAGTACAATTTGAGGTTGTTTCCTCTCTTCCTGTCACTCATTTCCTGGGAGAAGTGAATGACCCCCACCTGGCTGAACTCTCCTTTCAGGGAGTTTTAGTGAGCAAGAAGGTCCCCCCCGAACTTCCTTTTCTGAACAGTCAGCTCCCTCAGCCACTCATCATCAGATTTGTGCTCCAGTCCCTTCTCCAGCTCTGTTTACAGCAGAAACATCAAAATCTCAGTGTGAGAAACAAGACCCAAACAGCTGGTTTGAACCACACATTGTTTTTTTTCTAAGCACCTGTGTTTTCTGAGCCCATTCCTTGGGGATACATTTCTTGCACACATTTTTTTAAAAAAGTCTCAAAGACACTAGGTTTATTATCAACATCCCTTCTGCTGCCACAGTTAGACATTAGCAAATAAATGGGAAGGCTCTTCTCAGCAACATTTTGCATCCTCAGCTTCTGAGCAGATCCAGAATATAAAGGGCTGAGTTTGTAGATAATTACTCAAACTGAAAAAAACCCAAACCCTGTCTGTGGAAAGCTGTCTCAGAGGAGTGAATTCTGCACTAGAATTCCAAAACTCTAACACGTGTGGCAAAATGAGTCAGTTCCTTGAAGAGCAGCTTGTGCTCTGTCACTGCCCCAAGGCAGAGACCAGGATCCTGCTCCATGGCTTAAGTGAAACACGCCTGCAAGACACTCTCCCTTGTCAGTCCTCATGCACTGCAATATATGAAATATGTAATCCAGTCTCTGTCATCCAAAGGGCAATGAGGTGAACAAAATCCCCTCAAAAGATTGCAGAGATCTGGTTGGACCAGTGCTCTCCATGCAGGAGATATGCCCAGCAGAAGTAAGCAGGAGTCAAGGAGCTAAAAGGTCCCCCAGCTCTGCTCTCCATATTTGGACTTTGAAGATGGACAAAACAGTTATTTCTCCCAGACAGGGAAACCACAGCACACCAGATGAACCTCTGGATCAAAGCCACAAAGGGAAAAGCACAGGCAAGATGAGAATGACAACAAGAAAGGTTCAGCCAAATGATGGCAGTAACGGGGACTGTCAGGTGCAGGTTGTGGCCTGTCCACTAATGAATATCCCAACCAGTGTAAAGCCTTGGAGCAATCCTGTGGCTTTGACAGGATCCAGAGCAAACTGCAACCAGAGCCAGCTCCCCCTGCTTTGGGTGCAGAGTGTACACACCAGCTCCTGAACAGACTGGCTTCCCTGGGACATCTCCACCAAGGAACACCCAACACATGAGGCTGCCAGCAGCCGGGTCTGTTCCTCTCACTGAGCAACCCATTTCCCTGACTGCTGGAACTGAGACCTGGCCCCTCACCCATGGTATCGCAGAGATAACCAAGTCGTGCAGCCAACGTAACCCACCCATCTGTACACAAGGACTTTTTTTATTTTTAGCAGGTAACCCATTCACTGATGGCAAATCAGAGCTCTGACCCCTGCTCACATGAGCTGATGTTTAAGCCTGGGTGCAAAGCTTCCCAGCCTGCTTTCCAAAGCCCTTTTAGCCACTTTGGGCACACAGACACTGAGTTTTCTAATCATATGATCCTGCAAATGTCACCAGTGAACTGAAGATTTTCAGTTGCTAAAGGGCATTTCCTAACATTAGTGCTTTCCTTTTCACCACTAAAACTGGACTTCCCAAATCCTGGGCCCTACAACTATCTGAACATCTCTCTCCATCTTGAGGGAGACCATGCAAAGAACTGCTTGCTGCACACATCTAAGCACCTGCTCTCACACACCCCATCTCATACAGCTAATGCACATCTCCCCATGGCCCAGGTTCAGTCCCAGGTGTGCACACATCCTCCAGTACCAGTTCTGCCTACTGAGGCACCAGCCTCACCAGTGTACCTGTAGCCTCTGTGCTCTGGGTTAGTGGATCTGGCCTCTACACCCTCACACTCAAGTGATCACACACCTAGGACTGCCACCAGAGATACACACAGACGGGATGAGTGGCCTGAAGTGCTCCCTGCTAC